ATGTAGGGATCACCACCTTCGATTTGGTTACTTTTTTAGTTATTGATTCCAACATTAGTTCCCTGTTTTTTTTTTCCTCTATTAAATGCTACTGCAGACCGAATGCAGAGTTTGGCCTGAGGAAGCTCCGTGTTTGCTCATCATGTCAGGATTGAATTACTCTGGCTGAGGAGAAGGGTAAAGCTCCCTCTGACGTGCGTCCCCAGGTGTAGACCTTAATATGAAACCTTCAGCGAGCAGCATGTGTTTGAAGCGAGGGGCGTTAACTCTGACAGTCCCTGACACTGTACTGCGGCAGAATTGGAGACGGTTATTTTGCCGCAGGAGCTGGAAATAATGTGCTGGTGGCTGTTGGAGAGAGAGAGCGGGCTTTCATGGCATTGCTCTGAAATGGATCTGATTACAGAACAAGATACCATACCACTCTGCCAGACTGACCCAAGACTATTCAATCCCAATTCACCCGTCATAGAATCCTTGCAGTGTGGGAGCAGGCCATTCGACCCATCGAGTCCATACTGACCTTCCTAACAACATCCCACCCAGACCCAAAGGCCACTGCATCCTAGTCATTGACTGCCTTAGACCCAACTGTTCCTGAATGACCACCTGCGATCCAAAGCACCAAATTCTGCCCCTACCTTGTCCCACTTGGCCTCATCACTGCACTTACTGACCTCCACCAACTTTTTGCCATCTCCTCCGATCCTCTGCCTCTTTTCTAGACACATCGATCCCCTGAACCTCCATTTTTGTCCATCTCCCGGAATTGTTAGATTGACACGTGACCCTGCCCCCAGCTATCTAACTTTCCTCTGTCCCGCCATTGAAGGTGGAGCTTTCAGATTTGCGTCTTGACCTCACTACAATTCCTTGAACTTGCCAGTTCTCCTCACAAACCCTTCTTAAGATCTCTTCCTTTATCTACACCCTTTCTCAGCAAATCTATTCTCTCCTGTCTCTGACTCGTTGCCCCCAGTTTCCCATCGCAGGTACTCATTACAACATTTAAGACATTTAGACAGGTACATGAATAGTCATAGAGTTGTACTGCATGGAAACAGACACTTTGGTCCAGATTGTCCATGCCAACCAGATATCCTGTAATAATCTAGGCCCATTTGCCAGCCTTTGGCCCATATGCTCCTAAATCCTTCCTATTCATGTACTCATCCAGATGCCTTTTAAATGTTGTAATTGTATCAGTCTCCAACATTTCCTCTGGCACTTCATTCCATACACGCACCATCCACTGTGTGAGAACATTGACCCTCAGGTCCCTTTTAAATCTTTCCCTTCTCACCTCACACCTGTGCCATCTAGTTTTGCACCTCCACTACCATGGGCAAAAAGACCTTGAATAGAAAAGGTTCAGTGGTTTGTGGGCCAAATGCATGCAAATACGACTAGTTTAGTTCGGGAAATCTGGTTGGCATGGACAAGTTGGGTCAAAGGGTCTGTTTTGTGCTATCTGTTAGATGCCAGTGTGGCTCTGTAGGTTACACACTTACCTCAAGAGTAAGATGGTTGTGTGTTCAAATCTTGTTCCACAACTTGAAATGCATGATCCAGAATGATATTCCAGTGCAGTACTGAGGGAATGCTATACTGTCAGGGGGATTGTCTTTTGGATGAGACAATAAAGCAAGATCCCATTTGCCACCTCAATGAGACCCAGTAGCACTATTCCAAAGAAAAGGGGAATTTATAAAACTATCACTTGGCCCTAACTGGAAGGTGTATGCAATTTACTTTATGTCACTGTGCTTTAGGAAAGATGAGAAACCTATGGAGAAAGTATGAAAGAAATTTTATCCAGAAAGAGGGACTTTTAAAATTATTGTTATTTGCCTGTGGGATGTGTGTATCACTGGCCACGCCACCGTTTATTACCCATCCTGGTTAACCTTGAGAAGGTGGTAGCGAGCTGCCTACTTGAACCACTGCTTGTCCATGGGGCGTAGGGGCACCCACAATGCTGTCAGGGAGGGAGTTCCAGGATTTTAACCCAGCGACACTCAAAGAACAGTGATATATTTCCAAGTCAGGATGGTGAGTGGTTTGAAGGGGAACTTGCAGGATTTGGTGTTCCCATGTATCTGCTGCCCTTATCCTTCGAGATAGAAATGGTTGTGGACTTGTGAGGTGCTGCCTGAGGATCTTTGGTGAATTTCTGCAGTTCATCTTGTAGATGGTACACACCGTTGCTATTGAGTGCCAGTAGTGAAGGAGTGGATGTTTATGGATGTAGTGCCTATCAAACGGGCTGCTTTGTCCTGGATGGTGTCAAGCTTCTTGAGCGTTGTTGGGGCTGCACCCATCCAGGCAAATGGGGAGTATTCCATCACACTCCTGACTTGTGCCTTGTAGATGGTGCATAGGCTTTAGGGAGTCAGGAGGTGAGTTATCCACCTCAGTGTTCCTAGCCTTTGACCCCCGCTCATAATATTTATATGGCTAGTCCAGTTCAGATTATGGTCAGTGGTAATCCCTAAAATGTTGATAGTGGGGATGCAGTGATGGTAACACCATTGAATGTCAAGGGATGTTGGTTAGATTCTCCTTTTTGGAGCTGGCACGGGGCACGTGTATAGTACAAGGATATGGTGATGCTGGAGTTGGTCTTGTTCAAGTGGAGATGGCTAAGAGGTGATTGGATACAGCCATTTAGACTCATGTTATATTTGGATAGTTGAAATAAAGGAAAATTTTTTTCCAAAAGCGGAAGGGTTGAGAACCAGAAAACATCAATCTAAAGAAGTAATTAGGAAATAATTAGTTGTAAAATAAGGAATGGTGAGGATACGGATTACACTGCTGCGATAGGATACAGATTCATTAGAAACCTTGTGTAGATATGCTCGTGAAGGAAAAATAATGGGAGGGGTAGTGGGTAAAGAACAAGAGATTAAATGGGACAAAAACAGAAGTTGCTGGAAAAGCTCAGCAGGTCTGGCAGCATCTGTGAAGAAAAAATCAGAGCTAATGTTTCGCGTCCGGTGACCCTTCCTCAGAGATCAAACAATGCCTTGGTTTTCAAATTCTGATTCCTGTTCTCAAATGCCCCCAAGATTCTGCCAAACCTAGCCCAGCAACATCCTGTATCCTCCGTGATCTTCAGAGATACCTGATCCTGGAATCGTATGGTTCTCCACTTTCTATGGTCTCAACATTGGTGGGTCCTTTACCTTTCATTCACCCTGATTGTCCTTGTAGTGATTGATACAACAGAGTGGCTTGCTAGGCTATATCAGGGGGCAGTTGAGAGTCAACCACATCACTGTGGATCTGGAGTCACATGTAGTCCAGGCCAGGTAAAAATGGCAGATTTCCTTCCCTAAAGGACATTAGTGAGCCCTACACTTTAATCCCTCCACAATGAATTACTTATCAGATTCTCTAATGTCCTTTATGGAAGGAAACTGCTATCCTTACCTGATCTGGCCTACAGGTGACTCCAGGCCCACAGCAATGTGGTTGACTCTTAACCGCCCTCTGGGCAATTAGGGATGGGTAATAAATGCTGGTCCAGACAGCAATGCCCTCATCCCGTGAATGAATAAAAATACATACTCTCTGCCTCTGAAGCTCATCCTTCCTTGAAACCTACCTTCTTTGACCAAACCTTAGGTCACCTGGTCTCTTATATTCGCAGTGATCAATTTAGTGCTACAACGTTCCTGTTTTATATCATGTTTGAAGGTGTGATATAATTGTAAATTGTTGTTGTAGATTTTAAGTCCTCCCCACAGCCCAGTATAAGGTATCCCTCTTTTCTGAAGTAATAAAAGCATGAGATAGGATCTGATCAAAGTGTATAAAACGCAAACACGGCTGGACAGACTAGATGCAGGGAGGATGTTCCTCTGGTTGGAGAGCCTAGAACCAGGGGTCATAGTCTCAGGGTAGGCAAGAGATGAGGAATCATTTCTTCACTCAAAGGGTAATGAACCTGCGGAGCTCTATTCCACAGAAGTCTGTGGAAGCTGAGCCACTAAATATCTTCAACAAGGAGATCAATACTTTTGATGTCTTATAAATCTAAAAATGTATGGAGGGAAAGCAGGAAAATGACATTGAGGTAGAGGCTGAGCCATGATCATATTGATTGGCAGAGCAGTCTCGATGGGCTGAATGCCGACTCCAGCTCTCAGTTTCTAAGTACATGTACAGTACCTCTTTACTAAAAGCCTGACTTGGGGCTTCACTAAGTGACTGGTCATCTTGTTATAGGAAGGATATGATTAAGCTGGAGAGGTTTCAGAAGAGATTTACCAGGATGTCGCCGGGAATGGAAGGTTTGAGTTATAAGGAGAGGCTGGATAGGCTGGAACTTTTCTCACTGGAGTGTAAGAGGTTGAGGGGTGGCCTTATAGAGGTTTATAAAATCATGAGGGGTATTGATAAGGTGAATGCCTTTTCCCTAGGGTGGTGGATTTCAAGACTAAGGGGCATATTTTAAGGTGAGAGGAGAAAGATTTAAAAAAAGACACGAGGGGCATTTTTTTTACACAGAGGGGTTGTTTGTGTGTGGAATGAACTTCCAGGGGTAGTGATGGATACGGGTACAGTTAGAATGTTTAAAAGACATTTGGATAATGACATGAATAGGAAAAGATTGGAGGAATATGGGCCAGGGGCAGGCAGGTGGGAGTAGTCTAGTTTGGGATTATGGTCGGCATGGACTGCTTGGACCGAAGGGTCTGTTTCTGTGCTGTATGACTCTGTGACTGTCCTTCAGTGAGGGCAGCACGTATTTAACAAGCTGTTCAAGCAAAATGGCCCAGTACCTGTCCCTGTTCCTAATCGCAGAGCTGAAGTGATCTCCCAATACTTTCCTTCATGTTAGTGTGAGGCAGCTGGGTTACACTAGAGTACACCCAAGGAATAGTTGACGTTGGTCCACTCCATCCCCTGAAGCTAGCCAGCTGTGCCAACGGGGTGAATGTCTCTCGTCCTCTTGGGCTGACCCTCCGTGATCTCATTTCTCTCCTGCACAGGGTGCAGCCGCAAATCCAGAAAACCAGGACCAACAGCAGAAACTGCGGGAAGCAGCGGAAGGCCTGCGAGTCGTCACCAACTCAGCTGCTCAGAACGCCATCAAAAAGAAGCTGATTAATCGGCTTGAGGTAATGCAGCACGTTCCTTTCAGGTAAATTCATAATCCGCTTCCTCCTGGTCCTACAATTGGCACCAGGCAACCAAGTGAAAGAGGGAGAACCACCGAAACCAATCTGTCAGGAAGCCATTACACAAAGGATCAGGCACGTTGCGGTCATCAAACTCAACACAGGCCAGAGGCAGGGTCATCCCAGTCTGTGTGACTCCCAGCCACTCACTCACCAAATCGCCCATGGAACCGATTTTAATACGTCATGTTGAAATTAATTGATCAATCGGCTTTGCAGGGCTCAGTGTAGCGGATGAGAGTCTTTTGTTGTTCAGGATGTGTTTCTGTTTACTCTCTCCTTGAGCAGAATGCAGCCAAACAAGCAGCTGCTGCCGCAACACAAACTATTGCAGCTTCACAGAATGCATCATCGTCCAATAAGAACACGGCCGCCCATCAACAACTGGTCCAAAGCTGTAAGGTAAAGGGTTGAATGGGAAAGTCCCACAGGGGTTTGGTGTGAATCCGTCTCTCTCGGTTATTTCTTCACTGGAATGGGCGTCAGGACGCCTCCCTGTTCAGTTCCAATGAAATGGCACAAAGGAAGCTGAGGAGTGACCTGATCGAGTGTATCCCAGGATGTTGTGGGAGGTTAGGGAGGAAACTGTGCGGCCACTTGCAGAAATATTTGTATCATCTATAACCTCGGGTGAGGTGCTGGATGACTGGAGAGTGGCTCATGTTGTGCCTTTGTTTAAGAAGGGATGTAAGGAGCAGTTTGGGAACCATAGACATGTGAGTCTGACTTTGATGGTGGGTAAGTTGTTGGAGGTGATTCTGAATGATAGGATTTATGTGCATTTGGAGAGGCAGGTACTGGTTATTCAGCATGGCTTTGTGAGAGGGAAATCATGTTTCCATGTTATATGACTTGGGGCAGCACAGTGGCTCAGTGCTTAGCACTGCTGCCTCAAAGCGCCAGGGACCCGGGTTCGATTCCAGTCTTGTGTGACTGTCTGTGTGGAGTTTGCACATTCTCCCTGTGTCTGCGTGGGTTTCCTCCCACAGTCCAAAGATGTGCAGGTTAGGGTGGATTGGCAATGCTAAATTGCACATAGTGTAGGGATGTGTAAGTTAGTTGGGTTAGCCGTGGGAAATGCAGGGTTACGGAGACAGGGTAAGGGTTGGGTCTGGGTGGGATGCTCTTCAGAGGGTTGGCAATGACTTGATGGCCAATGACTTCCACACTGTAGGGTTTCTATGATTATACAATGACCAAACAAGCTGCCCATAGGCTGTTCACCTCCGGCTCAAGCATGAGTGAATGCAATGAGCATCACCCTCTTGTATACAGATCCTGGGCTGAAACTGAAACAGGTGTATTGCACGCTGTTCCTACGAGGTTTCAATTGATGCAAAATATTTTGGCATGTCTCCCTGCTTAAGTGTGCATCGCACACCCAGCGAGAATCCACTTTGAGAGCAGGTACCTAAAGTCATGTGTTCAAAGGATCTCCATTCAGCACCATTAGACAATCAGGACTCTACAAATGTAAATCTGCAGTTTAGCACAAACACCAGTTTCCACCTTTCCTTGCCCAGAAAACAACATCCACTGGGGAAGCATTCAGCTCTTAGGTATTTTCACATCAACCAGTTCAGAGATCTTATTACACACTTAAACTGGAACTGGAACCCTCGGCCTCCTGGCTCAGAGGCAGGGGCACTACCACTGCAGCTCAGGTTACCCCTTGGCATCACATTTAGATATTTTCTAACCACTGCCGGACTTGAAAGATAAGTAGGGAAGTTGTGGAGAGGACATAATAGAGGCTGCAGAAAGATATGGATAGGTTGAGTGAAGAGACCAAGATAAGACCATAAGACATAGGAGCAGAAATTAGGCCATTCGGCCCTCAAGTCTGCTCCGCTATTCAATCATGGCTGATAACCCCATTCTCCCACTTTCACCCCATAACCCTTGATTCTCTTGATAATCAAGAACCTATCTATCTCATTCTTAAGATCAGGCAAATGGTTTAAAATGTGGGAAAATGTGAAATGAACAATAAAAAGGAAATATTTTATTCAAACAGTGTGAGTTTGTAGAACTCTGAGATGGAGAGGGATCTAGGCGTCCTCATGCATGGATCACAAAAGGTTATAGGTGTCCAGGTACGGCATTAGGAAGCCTAATGGAATGTTCGAATTTATCGCAAGGGGAATTATAAAAGTTGGAAGTTATAATTCTGGAAGCTGGTGAGACCACATCTGGAGAATTGAGCACAGTCTTGGTGACCTTAGTTAAAAAAGATGTAAATGCAATGGAAAAGAATTCAGAAAAGGTTTACCAGACATAAACTTGGAATGAGTGGGTTGTCTCTTCAGGAAAGTTGGAAAGACCAGACTTGTACCCACTGAAATTTAGAAGGATAATTTGATGGAAGCATATAACATCCAGAGGGGTCTTGACAGGGTAGAAATGGAGAATCTAGAATGAGGGGTCACTCTTTAAAAATCACGGGTCGCCCATTTAAAGCAGACTTAAGGCGAAACATTTTCTCTCAGAGGGTCACGAGTGTTTGGAACTCTTTTCCCAAAGAGGTGGTGGAAGCAGAGTCCTTGAACAGTTTTAAGGCAGACATAGACTGATTCTTTTTAACCGAACAGGTTAAAGAAGAAACAAAGACAGAAGTTGCTCGAAAAGCTCAGCAGGTCTGGCAGCATCTGCGAAGAGAAATCAGAGTTAACGTTTCGGGGAAGTGACCCTTCCTCAGGTTAAAGGAGGTTGGCAGGGATGCAGATTTGAGGTTCCGATCAGATCAGTGACGATCTTAACGAATTGCTGTGCAGACTCAAAGGGTTAAGTGATCTACTCATGCTGTGTGTTTGGTTGTTCATATGTTGTGAGTTGGATGCTATGGAAATGGAAGTATTTTTCTTTTCATCATCCCTTCCTCATCTGCTCCCTGTTTTTCTCTTCTTTCCTTTTATTTTGAGTTGCTCTTGAAAAGGTAGTGGTAGACCCATGTGCTGTAGGTAGCCCCTTAGGGAGGGAGTTCCAGGATTTTGACCCAGCAACACTGAAGGAACATTGATATATTCCCAAGTCAGGATGGCGAGTGGCTCAGAGGGGAACTTGCATGGGGTGGTGTTCCCCTGCATCTGCTGCCCTTGTCCTTCTAGCTGGAAGTGGAAGGTGCTGTCTGAGGACCCTTGGTGAGTGTTTGCAACCTGTCTTGTAGGTGGTACACACTGCTGCTACTGTATGTTAGTTTTGAAGGTGGTGGTTGGGATAATAAGCAAATGGGCTTATTTTGAGGAAAAGCTCCTCGCATACGGTGTCTCGTATTTTCTTTCTACAGGTTGTTGCTGATTATATTCCTCAGTTGGTGCAAGGTGTGCGAGGGAGCCAGGCTGAGCCTGAGAATCTTAATGCCCAACTCGCCTTGATTATTGCCAGCCAGAACTTCCTTCAGGTATGTCTGTGTCTCTCTCTCTTTTTCTCTCTCTCCCTGCCTCTGTTTCCTTCTCTCTCTCTCTCTCTCTCTCTCTCTCTCTCTCTCTGTCTCTCTCTCTGTCTCTTTTTGAGCAGGACCTTCTCCTTCTGGCAGTGGTGAGCTGAGATCTGGCGAGGGCATCGAATTAGGCAGTGTAGTCGTGGCACCCAAAACCCAAATTGTCAACCTGCACCTGCAGCAATGGAGTTCTGGATTGGAGGGGCAGCGCGGTGGCTCAGTGGTTAGCACTGCTGTCTCACAGTGCCACGGACATGGGTTCAATTCTACCCTTGGGTGACTCTCAGTGTGGAGTTTGCACATTCTCCCCGTGTCTGTGTGGGTTTCCTCCAGGTGCTCCGTTTTCCTCCCACAGTCCAAAGATGTTCAGACTAGGTGGATTGGCCATGCTAAATTGCCCATAGTGTCCAGGGATGTGCAGGTTAGGTGGATTGGTTGTGCTAAATTACCCATAGTGTCCAGGGATGGGTGGGTTAGCCATGGGAAATGCAGGGTTATACGGATAGGGTTGGGGGAATGAGTCTAGTTCGGTGTGGATCCATTTTGCTGAATGGCCTCTATCTGCACTGTAGGGATTCTATGATTCCATTGCCAGTCTTCCCACCTACTGCCAATGGAATGACCAAGTCAGAACCACTTGAAGCTCTCAACCTACTGGGATAAAGTCAGAATTCACACAACACCAAGTTATAGTTCAACAGGTTTATTTGAAATGAACCCAAGATCACGGTTGAGGATGAATATTGAACTTGGTTAGCCGTTTCTGCTCAGCGATTCTGCGTTGTCGTGTATCATCCTTGGAGGACACTTTCCCAAAGATTGGAGCCTGAATGTCCTTGACCGCTGAAGTGTTCCCCAACCAGGAGAGAACGTCCCTGTTTGGTGATTGTTGTGCGGTGTCCATTCATCTGCTGTCGTAGTGTCTGCATGGTTTCTCCAATGTACCCTGCCTCGGGGCATCCCTGCCTACAGTGTATGAGATAGACAACGTTGGCCGAGTCATATGAGTATCTGCCATATACGGGGTGGGTGGTGTCCCCATGTGAGATGGTGGTGTCCATGTCGATGATCTAACATGTCTTGCAGAGGTTGCCGTTGCAGGGTTGTGTGGTGTTGTAGTCGATGTTGTCCTGAAGGCTGGGTAGTTTGCTGCGAATGATAGTCTGTTTAAGGTTTGGCAGTTGTTTGAAGGCGAGAAGTGGAGGTGTAGGGATGATCTTGGCGAGATGCTTGTCGTCATTGATGACATTTTGTAGGCTATGAGGAACGTGGCACAGTCTCTCCGCTCCAGTGAAGCACTGGACGATGGAGGGTACTCTATCCTGTGTCTGTCTTCTGAGGAGGTGCACAACTCTTATACCTATCATGTTATTCTAGTCATTTTGGTTTGTCTCCAGCACCACCTTACTTTTAATTGTTTTGTAATTATCTCTTTGCCTCATTTAATCAGATTTTAAGTCATCCCTTTGCTTGTTATTCAGCTGTTGACACTTACACTGTCTAACACTTTGGATCACCTGCAGAGACTTATTATTTAACAATCCACTGTATGATCATTTGATCTCTCTGCCTATACATTCTGTGTTCTGTGCGCTTCTCTCTCACTTCACCTGACGAATGGGGCTGCACTCTGAAAGCTTGTGATTTCAAGTAAACCTTTTGGACTATAACCTGGTGTCGTATGACTTCTGACCCAGTCCACCCCAGTCCAACACCGGCACCTCTACATCCTGCTGGGATAAATCCAGTTGCATGTGGGATTGTCACCAGTGTTCACAATGGCCTTGCCCCAGGGAGCCCTTGTCTCCTCTCAACCACTCCCCTACCCACACACCACGCCACCCCGCTCCCCCCCCCACCCCCCACCCCCTCCAAACTCCTTTCCTTCAACAACTGAAAGTATGAACCCTCCTCCTGCTGAACAGTGGAATTCTCTGGGAAGTTACATGCTGGAGATAATGAGAGAAGTTTTGGGGATACGGGTTTTTTAAATACCTTTTGTGGGATGTGGATGTCATTGAATTGGCCAGTATTTATTCCCCAATTGCCCTTCAGAAGGTGGTGGTGAGCTTTAGTTTTAAACCATTACAGTTCGTCTGGTGCACAGACAAGAACAGTGCTGTTAGGGAGGGAGCCCAGGATTTTTGATCCAGCGGTACTGAAGTAATGATAAAATAGTTCCAAAGTCACAATGGTACGTGGCTTCGAGAGCAGCTTGCTTGTGTTCCCATCCATCAGCCGCCTTCAGCCTTCTCAATGGTGGAGGTCCCGGCTTGGGAAGGTGCTGTCGACAGAGTGAGGCCATGAAGTGAAAATTGAACGTCGTCTTAGCCTCGCCGGCTGCCCTCTCATTAGGGACAGAGAGGGACGACGAATGGTGGTCAGTTTAACCAAAGGGACACCGCACCTCGGGCGAGGGGAGAGACTGAAAGCCGGGACCTTCACAGTGACCTCAGCAGGAGTGAGAATTGAATCCATGCAGTTGGCTTCACACTGCATCACAAACCAGCTCTCCAACCGACTGAGCTAACCAATCTCTGAGGAGAGCGAATGTCTAATCAGCTAATATCTATGCTTCGAAAACCTTCCCACGTCATGTTGGACCTGGCTGAACAATCCGTTCCGAATCTGGATTTCCCTTCTCCCCCAACCTACAATAAATTCTTCCACGTAATTGTGTTTGACAGCTAGGAAATAAATTAGGCAGCAATCACTGAACACTAATAAAAGGCTTTGTTTTTATGGAGCATTTATCCAGATTTAAATATTTGTATGATGGTGTAGTGTTGGTACCCCATCTGATTTGTTTCGCAGTACAATCTATCTAATTGGGTTGTTAAGCTGATGCTTTGCAAATAAGCTCCATTCTAATTATGTTGTGGAGCAGTACAAGCAAATGGAGGGATAGACATTTTGGAGATTTAAATAAAAGATGTTATGTGGTATCTCTGAAATTCTTAAACCATTTGTGGGCAGTATTCTGAGATTTAGTATCCTTTCCACAGCTCCTGCTGCAAACAAGATGGAAAGTTTAATTTCCAAGTTTGAAAGCTGATATCTTTACGTTTCGTTGGTGGCTCAGTGGCTAGCATTCCAGCCTCTGAGTTAGAACGTTGTGGGTTCAAACCAGATTCCAGAGACTTGAACCAGACTGACATTCTCAGTATAATGCTGAGGGAGTATTGCACTGTCTGAGGGTCAGTACTCAGGGAGCGCGGCATTGTCAGAAGATCAATACTCAGGGAGTGCTGCACTGTCTGAGGGTCAGTACTGAGGGAGCGCCACACTGTCTGAGAGTCTGTACTGAGGGAGCGCGGCACTGTCTGAGGGCCAGTACTGAGGGAGCTCTGCACTGTCTGAGGGTCAGTACTGAGGGAGCTCTGCACTGTCTGAGGGTCAGTATTGAGGGAGTGCCACACTGTCTGAGGGTCAGTATTGAGGGAGCTCCGCACTGTCTGAGGGTCAGTACTGAGGGAGCTCCGCACTGTCGAAGGGTTAGCACTGAGGGAGTGCCACACTGTTGGAAGGTCAGTACTGAAGCAGTTAAGGCCTAATGACACTTGTGGGTGAATTTAATACATCCTTTGGCCTGATTTCGAAGAACAGCAAGAGTAACTTGGCCAGGTCGCTGTCAATACCATCGTTGAGAAACCGGCCAATCTCGACTTCTTCATCGTGGGATCTTGCTGTGCGTTTATTAGAAGCCTTTTTTGTTGTTTAGTCGCAGAAATGAGCGTTCTTCAGAAGTGCTTCGTTTCTTGTTTAAAAAAAAACACTTTGGACATTAGGTGAGTTATGGGGGGATGGGTCTGGGTGGGATGCTCGGAGCGTTGGTGTGGACTTGTTGGGCCAAAGGGCCTGTTTCCACACTGTAGGGGTTCTCTGATTCTATGATGACATCCTGAGGTTGCGAAAGGCGCTATGTAAACACGAGTCTTTCTGCTTAACCTTGTCGTTGTTGTTTCTGCAGCCTGGAAGCAAGATGGTCTCCTCCGCTAAAGCTGCAGTGCCTACAGTCGCTGACCAGGCCGCTGCCATGCAGCTTGGCCAATGCGCCAAGAATCTTGCCACGAGCCTGGCTGAGCTCCGAACGTCTGTACAAAAGGTCAGTAATAGTCACGGTGCTCACCTTTGCCCCCCCCCCCCCCCCCCCACACCCCATCTCCGGGCAGCTCTGACCGAGGCTGCCATCGGGTTTGTTTTCTCTCCGGAGAGGCCCAGCAGTTTGGGCCAAAACAAAAACATCGAGCAAACCGATCTTGAGAGGCGAACCAACGCGGTAATGTCTGACTTTCTCCAATGCAGGCTCATGAGACGTGTGGTCCCATGGAAATTGACTCCGCACTGCAGTCGGTGCAGACTCTGAGGAACGAACTACAGGATGCCAAGATGGCAGCAGCAGATGGACAACTGAAGCCGTTGCCAGGGGAGACGGTAAGATGAGCTCTTTCGCAAATCAATCTTGTCATTTTGAGTGAAGATCACCACCGTTGACCGTTGGAATCTATTTTAAAAATCGAGTTAGTGTGGAGAATTGGGATTGAACGTGGCAGGGACTTTGTTTATTTAATCAGTTCCATTTGACGGGTGGTAAAAGGAGGAGAGTTTCCTGGTTAGTGAGAACTGTGTGATGCCTCGTCCTCCCCACATTCAAAGACTCCACACACAAGTTCTCCTTGTGAGTAAGCATCAACTTCATTCCAAGAGGCAGGAGCATAATTGAGTGCTCCGGTTTCCTCCCACAATCTAACGATGCACAGGCTAGGTAGATGGGCCATGGAAAATGCGGGGTTACAGGGATAGGTAGGGGGATGGATCTGGGTGGGGATGCTCTTTGGAGGGTTGGTGTGGAGTTGTTGGGCTGAATAGCCTGTTTCCACACTGCAGGGATTCTATGTTTTGTACCTCACCCATAGCGCCAATGGGGGTTGGATGTTGTAATTTATTGTTACACATGCTTTGGCAGGTTGATGCTGTTACAAGATTGTTGTCGAAGTTACAACAACGGCATTTATGAACAAGGGAAATGACGAGCCCAGAGCGTCTCCAGGCTTCATGCTTGGGGGATTAGACCAAGGCAGCAACTGGAACTGGTGAATAAAATTGCAACTTTCCAGTTAGCTGCATTTTGGAAAGGCACATCAAGGCAGGACTTATATACTTAGTGGTAAGGTCCTGGGGAGTGTTGCTGAACAAAGAGACCTTGGGCTGCAGGTTCACAGTTCCTTGAAAGTAGAGTCCCAGGTAGACAAGGTAGTGAAGAAGGCGTTTGATATGCTTGCCTTTATTGGTCAGTGCATTGAGTATGGGAGCTGGGAGGTCATGTTGAGGCTGTAACGACATTGGTTCAGCCACTTTTGGAATACTGCGTACAATTCTATCTCCCTCCTATGTGAAACTAGAAAGAGCTCAGAAAACAAAAACAGAAGTTGCTGGAAAAGTTCTGAGGAAGGGTCACTGGACCTGAAATGTTAACTGTGATTTCTCTCCACAGATGCTGCCAGACCTGCTGAGTTTTTCCAGCAATTTCTGTTTTTGTTTCTGATTTTCAGCGTCTGCAGTTTGTTCGATTTTTATATTGGAGGTAGATCAAAGGAGATTCACTAGATTGATTCCAGAAATGAGGGGTTTATCTTATGAAGAGAGATTGAGCAGTTTAGCCCTATACTCTCTGGAGTTTAGAAGAATGTGAGGAAATCTAATTAAGGTACTAAATAAGATGTTAAACGGGATTGGCAGAGTAGATGAAGAAAGGATGTTTCCTTATGTGGGGCGATCTAGGATGAGAGGTCATTGTTTTAGGATAAAGGGTAGTGGATTTAAGTCAGAAATGAGAAATTATTTCTCTCAAAGAGTCATGAAACTGTGGAATTCACTACCCCAGAGTGTGGTGATGCTGGGACATTTAAGAAGGAGAGAGACAGATTTTTTAATTAGCAATGGGTTGAAGGTTTGTGGAGAGTGGGCAGGAAAATAGAGTTGAGGCCGAGATGAGATCAACCATGATCGTATCAAATGATGGAGTAGACTCATGGGGCTGAATGGCCTACTCCTGGTCCTAGTTCTTATGTGCAAACCTGATCACAAAACCAGAAGATATTTATAGTCTGTGTCAGTCACATGACAGAGTACTGTGTTTGCTATTAAACATCAGTAAGGTCTTATTAACTCAATACCACTTGCTCTCAAGAAAGGCCCCCAAAGTCTGAAGAAGGTTAAACTGTGAGATGGCTCCCCCTACCTTTCCCACCTCCATGAATTGAGATCAGTGCACAGTTTCACATGCACCCTATCACTGAATTGAATTCCTCTTGCTTGGTTTTGCGATGATGCCATTGATTTAATTTTGAGCAGCACTGAAATTAAGGTTTACCATTTCCACCGGCATTAGACTTTAACCATGTCAGGTTGACTTCCAGTGTCTCTCCTGTGATGGAACATCTTATTTTACCCATTTACGGAATTTCAGCCAACTGGGTTGATCAGATGGTACGAGACGTGTATAGCAATTGCCTTTAGCCACTGTGACCACCAGGGTCCAGCTGATGTCTCATGGGTCATGACACTTGATGCTATTGATGGTCAGTCCGAGATATCAATTATCCAGAAATGTTTGAGCAGTCTCGGTGTGGTGGAGGTGATTCTGTTCATGAGTATTCACTGAGTTACTCGATCATAGCGAGCAGCTTTGCTTTGTCTGGATCATAGAAGAATCATCATAGGATCCCTACTGTGTGGAAACAGGCCCTTCAGCCCAACAATTCCACACCAACCCTCACAGCGTCCCACATAACCGACCTAATCTACACATCCCTGATCACTACGGAAAATTTAGCATGGCTAATCCACCTAACCTGCACATCTTTACCGGGGCACTCAGAGGAGACCCACACAGACACGGGGAGAATGTGCAAACTCCACACAGACAGTCGCCCAAGGCTGGGATCGAACCTGGGTCCCTGGCACTTGAGACAGATGTGCTAACCACTGTGCCGCCCACCATCAGTGAAACTCCAAAGGTTCAGTTACTGAGTAAGGGCCTAATGGCGTATGAGGCAATTTGTTCAGGAACACTGGCAACGAGAGCAAGCATGAGCCATTTGGCCCATCAAATCTGCCCAGCCATTCATCTTCCTCAATACCTTTTTCCCTCCTTCTCCCCATGTTCTGGGTATCCTTTAACATCTGGAAATCTATCAATTACTGTCGTGAACGTACTCAATGAGCCGCCACAGGCCTTCAGGTAAGGGATTGTAAAGATTCACAGCCCTTTATGTGAAGAATTCTTGTCTTTCTGTTTTTCCAGCTGGAGAAATGTGCACAGGATCTGGGAAGTACGTCCAAGGCTGTTGGCTCTTCAATGGCACAGCTCCTCACCTGTGCAGCTCAAGGCAATGAACATTATACAGGTGGGTGGAGTACGGTGTAAAACACACTGTACAGGTGGGCACAGTTCAGTGTAAACCACACTGTACAGGTGGGTACAGTGCGGTGTAAAACACACTGTACAGGTGGGTGCAGTGCGGTGTAAAACATGCTGTACAGGTGGATGCAGTATGGTGTAAAACACGCTGTACAGGTGGGTACAGTGCAGTGTAAAGCAGGTTTTTGAGGTACAGTTGGTTCTGCTATGATGCAATAGTTGTGTTTCTGCACAACATCGCGCTATAGAAGTAACTGGGCCTATGGGAAAAGCAGGGTTAGGGGCAGACCACCAAAAAATATTACTCAAAATCACTCAAAAGCCTAACACAAAGGAAAGCACAGTTTGAGTAAATGTTTAATTCATATCTAAAAATGAAATAAAAGTAAATTTAACACCTTATTTTGAAAAAATGTCATGATGCCTTGATGGAGGAAGAGGTTTTGAGGTTGCTCTGTTGTTAATGCCCATTCTTTTGGTGCTAACATTGGTCATGTCCAGGACAAAGTCCACGAAACGATCATTTGATGTTGACGCATACTCCTCCACGCACCAGTGGATTGTGTTATAGCCAACAGAAGTTCACATTTTAGAAATAGCGTTCCCCTATTTGTCAGTCATGTTATAACCAATTTGTGTTGCCAGAACACGCGTTATAGCAGAACTGACTGTATACACATGCTGAAGCCTCTACTGCTGATCTCTGAACCTTGACTTCTAAACTGTTATGAAGAAACCAATTGAATTTTCAGTACGAGACCTTGAGAGCTTTACTAGAAACTTTGCAGACTGACGTCGGTATGGTGGCGTGCTTACAATCCTGTTTATCGTCAGGTCATTGCTAAGTGTGATCGGGTAGAGAATAACACTTGACTACCTCTGATGTCCATGCACAAGCTGCAGTTTCTCGGAATTATAGTTTGTACTGAAGGATGTTAACTGCTGTGCTGACTGTGCTGAGATTAGTCTCCATGGTAACAATGGAATGGCTCTCACTGAGCTAGGGCATCTTGCCGTGCGATGCATAACGTTTTTTTTTAAAAGAGTCCAATTTCTATCCACTACCTGCAAGAGGGAGACGCTGACAGTTTAAATTGTTCCCTTTCTGTGTTGGCGTGCTGCATTGGCATGTTATTTATCAATCATCAGGTTATCAATCATCAAGCATATTTGTGTTCATACCATTTTTGATATTGCCATTGCCTCCCTGAAGATGATGGCCTAGTGGTATTATTGCTTGACTGTTAATTCAGCTAATGTTCTGGGGACCTGGGTTTGAATCCCACCACAGCAGATGGTGGAATTTGAATTCGATAAATATCTGGAATTAAGAGTCTAATGATGAAACTGCTGTCGATTGTTGGAAAAAACCCACCTAATTGCCTAATGACCTTTAGGGAAGGAAATCTGTCGTCCTGACCCAGTCTGCCCTATGTGTGAGTCCAAATGCACAGCAATTTGGTTATGTCTAAACTACCCTCTGGGCTATTAAGGATGGACAATAAATGGTGGTCTAGGCAGTAATGACCATATCCCATGAATGAATGAAAAACAGAGTGTAAGGAGTAATAAATGTGCATATCCAGTGTGCTCTTTATGAATGAGGAAGTGAAGGACAGGATCCTGAAGCGAATGATGGAGTAGAGTAAATCAAACAACAAGTTCTACAACCTTTTTGAACTGAGAATGGTGGTGGACCCATTGTAGCTTTTCATAGAATCCCTACAGTGTGGAAGCAGGCTGTTGCATTTCTCATGCCCAATCCACCTAGCGTGCAAATCTCTGGACTGTGGGAGGAAATTGGAGCACCTGGGGGAACCCCACACAGACACAGGGAGAATGTGCAAACTCCACACAGACAGTCACCCGAGGGTGGAATCGAACCCGGGTCCCTGGCACTGTGGGGTAATAGGGCTAACCACTGAGCCAGCCTGTTGCCCTTCTCTGAATCAGGGCAGGTGTGGCCCTACAGTACACCACAGAATTTCATTTAAAAAATGTCCAAAGCATCAAATCGATTGTTTAAATCAATAATTAATAGAGCTGACCTATTTAAAAAGAAGAGGCAGAGCTAATTAATGAAACATGTTTTTGCTTTTCTGATTTAAGCAGCGGAGCTAGGGAAGGTGAAAGGTTATGCCCTAGGCCCTGATCCGAAGGGAAACAGGTGGGGACGGAGGCCAGGCTAAGGAGCTGTGTTTAATTAACACTGACCTTATGGTTGCCTCTGGTGATGAACTCTCTGAGCTGAGAGATAGCAAGAACTGCAGATGCTGCAGTCAGAGATAACGCAGTGTGGAACTGGAGGGACACAGCAAGCCAGGCAGCATCAGAGGAGCAGGAAAGTTGACGTTTCGGGTCAGGACCCTTCTACCTGTTCCTCTGATTCCTGTTGATCCTGCATTCTCTGATGGCCACCCTGGCTATTTGATGGGGAGCTGGTGAATTATTCTCACTGTCCTTGTAAATTTCTGTCAAACAATCTTTAACATGTGTGACGTAATAATTATAATGTTTATATTGTTCTTGAAGTTTATTATTACTGATTGCAGAACTTACTCTGGCTAGACTTGCTGCTTCCTTTCCTACGTTACAAAAGAATACTTTAAATATAGAGTCAGAGTCTCTCTCTCAGGGAGCAGAGTCTTTCCAAGTTGGAGTCCAGTCATTTTTTTACTGAGTTCATTATTTTTGTGGCTTGATTTAATGCTTCCTGATCTAATTCATTTTTTTGTCAGGACTTTTTGAAATCAGAAAGCAAAACATGACAAGTGATCAACAATAAAACTGAATTAATGCCTCAATTGTATGAACCATAACAGAAGCAGAAAGTGTTTCCGGTGGGAAATAATGTAGTGATAAATCTAGCACAGGCTGCTAGGGGTTTTGTTACATCCGGTGTTCCTGTGATCTACAGCTCTGATGGATTATTTTAAATTCCCTCTGCACCTGTGCTACGTCAAACAAAGTTTAAGATCGTGTTGATGGAATCATAGAATCCTTGCAGTGTAGAAAGAGGCCACTCGGCCCATCGAGTCAGCACCAGCCCACCGTAGAGCATTCCACCCTGACCCAACCCCTGTTACCCCACATTCCCCATGTCTAACCCAAAAAGCCTGCACATCCCTAGGCCCTACGGGGCAATTTAGCATGGCCAATCCACCCTAACCTGCACATCTTTGGACTGTGAGAGGACACAGGGAGAATGTGCAAACTCCACCCAGTCACCCAAGTATCACATTGAAACGTGTAGGATTCTTAAGGGGCTTGACAGGGTAAATGCTGAAATGAAAAGAGATAAATGGGGTGGCACGGTGGCTCAGTGGCTCAGTGGTTAGAGCTGCTGCCTCACAGCACCAGGGACCTGTGTTCAATTCCACCCTCAGCTGACTGCCTGTGTGGAATTTGCACATTCTCCCCATGTCTGTGTGGGTTTTCTCTGGGTGCTCCGGTTTCCTCCCACAGTCCAAAGATGTGCAGGTTAGGTGGATGGGCCATGCTAAATTGCCCTGTAGTGCTCAGGGATGTATAGATTCGGTGGGTTATAGGGGGATGAGTCTAGGATGCCCCAAGGGTCAGTGTGAGCTTATTGGGCCAAAGGGCCTGTCCCCACACTGTAGTGATTCTATACATAAAAGAAAATTTTCCCCACATGGGAGAGTCTGGGACCAGAGGGCACAGTCTCAGAACGAAGGGGTGCCAATTTAAGTCCAAGATCAGGAGAATTTCTTCTCTTAGAGGGTTTGGAACTCCTTGCCACTGAGAGCTTTTGGGGGCAGAGTCCTTGTATATGTTTAAGGCTGTGATAGATAGATTCTTGATCAGTCAGGGAATCAAGGGTTAGGGGGAAAGGGAAATGTCAGATCAGCCCTAATCGTACTAAATCGTACTGATGCAGGACATCAGTGAACCACATGAGTTTACACAACAATCAAGAACAGTTTCACAGTCACCGTTGAACTCTTAATTCCAGATTTTTATTAGATACAAATTCCATTATCTGCTGTGACAGGATTCGAATCCATAACATTACCCAACTCTCCAGACTAATAGATTAGCAATAATACCACTAGGCCATTGTCTAGACCTAGTTAACCACAGTGAGGCAGGAGACCATTTGGTGTTTGATATTCTTGTTTCTTTTCCCTTGGTTCTGTTATTGTGCCAAAGCGGTTCAGTCAGATCTTCTTGATTGTGCTGTCAGGTATCGCTGCACGGGAAACAGCACAAGCTCTCAAGACACTGGCATCAGCTGCTCGTGGTGTGGCAGCTTCGACTGAGAACTCTCCGGCTCAGAGCTCCATGTTGGACACGGCCCGGGATGTGATGGACGGATCTGCCCTGCTGATCCAGGAAGCCAAGCACACGCTGGCTTCACCCGGAGATGCTGAGAGCCAGCAGAGGCTGGCACAGGTCAGTCAGATCAAGCACGTTCCTCCGATTGTGAAGGGGACCCCTGTCTGCTTGTACTAAGGCCTGATGCTGACTAAAAGCCATGGTGTCAGCAGTGGCTCAGTGGGCAGCTCTCACCTCCTGAGGTCTCGAGGTTGTGTGTTCAAGTCCCACTCCAGAGGCTTGAAGACGACTCCAAGCTGACCTTCCCAGCCCCAGACCAGGGGCGATGTGGCATTGCCTGAAATGCTGTCTTTTGGTTGAGATGCTGTGCTGAGGCCCCATCTAACCTCACAGTTGAATGCGTGGCACGGTGACTGAGTGGTTAGCGCTGCTGCCTCACAGCGCCAGGGACCTGGATTTGATTCCACCCTTGGGCAACTGTCTGTGTGGAGTCTGCACATTCTCCCCATGTTTGCGTGGGTTCCCTCCGGGTGCTCCGGTTTTCTCCCACAGTCCAAAGATGTGCAGGTTAGGTGGATTGTCCATCCTAAATTGCTCCATAGTGTCCGGGAATGTGCAGGGAACGTGGATTAGCCATAATAAAAACCCCATGCAGCGTGGTGGAGATGGGGTGGGGGCTGGGTGGAATGCTATTCAGAGTATTGAGACAGATTTGATGGGCCAAATGGCCTCTTTCTGCACTGTAGGGACTCCATAATTCTAAAAGATCCTCTGGCACTATTTCAAAGAATTGGTATTAAAGCACTTTTGGGCATTCTGAAGAGTGAAAGGTGCTCTATAATTTTAAGTCTTTCTTTCCGAAACAATCTGAAAGGTTTGGGTGGAAGGGCAATGAAGATTCCACTGAATGAATTGGATTAAAATTGCCCCTTTTTATATTTGGAGGTGATTTATCTTCAGCCCCAGTTTTCTTTATCCCAGGATGGTAGGATCGTTCTCAGGACTGCACATGACATCATCAGCTCTGGTCAGAGTAAGGTAAATATTGTAAGGACCTCCTTAAACAGGAATATAAAAGCAAAATACAGTGTACAGCAGAAATCTGAAATAGAAGCAGACAGTGCCAGAAGTACTGAGTTGGATTCACCTTGTAACCTAGTTGGCTACAAGAGCAGGTGGGAAGATAGGAGTACATTAACCCCCCAAAGCCTGTTACCATCTACAAGGCACAAGTCAGGAGTGTGATGGAATACTCCCCACTTGTCTGGATGAGTGCAGCTCCAACAAAACTCCAGAAGCTTGACACCATCCAGGAGAAAGCAGCTCCCTCGATTGGCACTACATCCACGAGCATCCACTCCCTCCACCACTGATGCTCAGTAGCAGCAGTGCGTACTATCGACAAGATGCACTGCAGAAATTCACCGAAGATCCTCAGACAGCACCATGACTGCTTCCATCTAGAAGGACAACAGCTGTTGATACATGGGAACACCACCACCTTCAAGTTCCCCTCCAACCCACTCAACATCCTGACTTGGAAATTAATAGCCGTTCCTTCACTGTTGCTGGGTCAGAATCCTGGAATTCCGTCCCTGAGGGCATTGTGGGTCAACCCACAGCAAGAGGACTGCAGCTGTTCAAGAAGACAGCTCACCACCACCTTCTCAGGGGCAACTAGGGATGGGCAATAAACGCCAGCCCAGCCAACTGTGCCCACATCCCCCAAATGAATAAATGAAGTACTCAGCAGTTTGGTAGCATCTCCAGAGAGAGAGAGAGAGAGACACACCAGAGTTAATGTCTCAGGGCGAGCGAGTTTTCATCCGACCTGTATATGTGAGGACTTTGTACAAACATACCAATCAACAGTAAGCCATTCAGCCCATTGAGCCTGCTCTGTAATTCGATAAGATCCCGATTGGTCTGCCTGAGTTCAGAATTCCACATTCCCATCTGTCCCTAGTAATCTTCGATTTCTCCCTAGCCTTACAGACATCTACCGCTTTAAAAATATTTAATGACCCCACCTCCACCGTCAACTGAGGCAGAGAATTCCAAAATCACACAATCCTCTCAAAGAAAAAGAATTCTCGTCTTGAAAAGGCTGCCCATAATTTTAAGAGAGTGCCCCCCTAGTCGTGGGCTCACCCACTCGGGATAACCTCCCGTCCACCTTATCAAGACTGCTCAGGATTTCCTGTGCTGTATCTTAAGAAAGGATCTGAGTAGATTTACTCACTTTCTTACTCCAGGCCATATTTACCATCCATTGACATAAAACTGATATGTTCAGTCTCCCTAATGCGAGTGAGCGGACACTGTGTGTAACTGATCCTGTTACAGTACAACACAATGTTAGCATAACATGCTCCAAGGCACAGCTTGACTCAACGTGGGTAAAGAAAAGCCTGCCCCTCTCACCCTGTATCTGTGATTCTCTCCAGTCTATTCAGACACTTATTATTCCTGATATCAAGGAAAGAACCCTACATTCTATCTCCTGCACTCGAAATAATTCAGAATATTTCCCTAAACTCACTGATCTCTAATTGAGAAATGTGTTTAGACAACCCTACAATCCTTTGAGATCTCTGCGCTCCTCTAATTCTGGCCCCTTGACCATCCCTGCTCAATCATTGGTGGCCCTGAGTTTAGCCACCCAATCCCCAAGCTCTAGAAATCCCTCCCCTTAACCCCCCCACCTCGCCTTTCGACCTCTGTCTCTTTCTTTGATCTTCACTTGTTATCATTAAAGTTTCTCGCTGCTTTCCCAAATGCCCGGTTTAGTGTTTAGTTCGCCTTATGATCGCTGCTGTCAGTGTTTCGCCGCATTAAAGGTGCTATATAAATTCAAGTTGTTCATGCTTCTTCACCACTTGATGTCAAGTGGCACTGTCACCTCTCACTGTGCTGTCAGTTGGAATCTTGAATTTCTACTCAGAGGGTCATCTCCTGAACATTGACCGCTGTCCTCAATATGCTTTTGAATTGAACTCTGATTGAGGCAGTCAGTGTGTCGAACAATTCCAATTGTGTGTCAGTGTTGTTCCTTCCTTTTCTAAAGGTGGCTAAGTCGGTCTCACACTCGCTGAACAACTGTGTGAACTGTTTGCCAGGGCAGAAGGATGTGGACATGGCACTTAAGAGCATTGGAGAATCCAGCAAAAAGCTGCTGGTCGACTCGGTAAGCTTTGATTGCTTTTCTCTTTGTTTGAAAACTATCCAAGCCACAGTCAAAGACTTGGAGATGATCCTGATGGCTGTGTCAGAGCCTTTCACTCAATCCCCATCCATAAAGTCCACCTCCTCCTCCAGAACTGTCTTATCCTGAATCATGTACCGAGTGAGCACGGGACGTGTAAGGATAGCATTGCTGAACAAGTATCATATGTTTCACACACAGGGTCATGTGTGAAAAGAAGACCCAAATAAGATTAATTTTAAACTTATTACACCTCCCTCGCTGCTGTACAGCTGATAAGTCATAGCCTCATTAAAATAATGAAAAATTTCCCATTGTTTGTCATGGATTTCCTGATTTGCTCCTACCCATTGGTCAGTAACCATATTTATTAACTCTCACCTCATGCATTAACAAGACTTACCCAGGTCTGACACTGCAATGCGAACCCAGTGGATACCCAATTCAGCAGGTTCCCATTCCTTGTACAGTTGCTTTCCAACAGTGTTTGCCCGTTACTCTGTGGGACTAATTCAGTCTCACACTGTCTGTGAATGTGATGTAGCCTAATCTGATTTACACCTTTGGCGATTACAAAACAAACTGCAGTGTTTCTGATGTTAAAACATTGCTGAATCCTTACTGAGATGTAAGGATGAGCGATTGGAGCTTCCTTTAGAGAGAGAGAGAGAGAGTGCGTGCGTGCGTGTGTGTGTGAGAGAGATTATATCTGCAAGTGTGTATGTGTGCAAGAGTGTGTCCGTATGCACATGTGTGTGCCTTACTGTGTATATCTCATTATTTCTGGGTGTCTCTCATGTGAATGTGTGTCTGGGTGTGTGCATGCCTGGCTGAGTGTATGTCAGTGTGTCTCTGTGTGTGTGTATGTGTCTTCAAACATGTGTGTTCGCACATGAGTGCGCTTGTGTCTGTGTGTATCTCTCTGAATGCGTGTGAACTTCACGTGCTGAGGTTTATAAATACCCAGATGGGAATCGATGAGACTGTCTCTCTATGTTTTCTTATTAATCTCTTTCTCTTTTGCTCCTGCTGCAGTTGCCACCGAGCACCAAGAGTTTTCAGGAGGCGCAGAGCGAGTTGAATCAAGCTGCTGCGGGTCTGAATCAGTCAGCGGGGGAGGTGGTCCATGCCTCCCGAGGGACTAGCAGGCAATTGGCTGCTGCGTCCGGCAAATTCAGCGAAGATTTTGACGAGTTTCTGGATGCAGGCATCGAAATGGCTGGACAAGCTCAGGTAAGGTGTGTGGCCTAGCGGTTAATCCAGAGGGCGTGAGTTCAAATCCGAGTGAGAGATACCAACGTGTAGAGCTGGATGAACACAGCAGGCCAAGCAGCATCAGAGGAGCAGGAAGGCTGACGTTTCGGGCCTAGACCCTTCTTCAGAAATGGGGGAGGGGAAAGGGATTCTGAAATAAATAGGGAGAGAGGGGGAGGCAGATAGAAGATGGATAGAGGAGAAGATAGGTGGAGAGGAGACAGACAGGTCAAAGAGGCAGGGATGGAGCCTGTAAAGGTGAGTGTAGGTGGGGGTTTAGGGAGGAGATAGGTCAGTCGAGGGAGGACGGACAGGTCAAGGGGGCGGGATGAGGTTAGTAGGTAGGAGATGGGGGTGGGGCTTGAGGTGGGAGGAGGGGATAGGTGGGAGGAAGGACAGATTAGGGAGGCGGGTACAAGCTGGGCTGGTTTTGGGATGTGGTAAGGGGAGGGGAGATTTTGAAGCTTGTAAGTCCACATTGATACCATTGGGCTGCAGGGTTCCCAAGCGAAATATGAGGTACTGTTCCTGCAACCTTCGGGTAGCATCGTTGTGGCACTGCAGGAGGCCCAGGATGGACATGTCGTCTGAGGAATGGGAGGGGGAGTTGAAATGGTTCATGACTGGGAGATTACCGCTCACGCTTGGACGTTGAACAGTTTTTCCGCTGTCTTCGCCTCCGCGCTTACTTCTTTAATCGTGAGCCTAACCCCCCTTCTACTGACCCCTTCTCCTGCCTCCAACACACCCCCTCCTCCTGGACACCACTCCAAGGCCTCCTACCCTCCCTCAACCTCTTTATCTCCAACTGCCGTCGTGACATCAATCACCTCAACCTCTCCACCCCTCTCACCCACTCCAACCTCTCCCCCACAGAACGTGCAGCCTTCCGCTCCCTCCGCTCCAATCCCAACCTCACAATAAAACCAGCGGACAAGGGAGGCGCAGTTGTAGTATGGCGCACTGACCTCTAAATCGCCGAGGCCAGGCGCCAACTCTCCGACACTTCCTCCTACCACCCCCTTAATCATGACCCCACTCCCGACCACCAAACCATCGTCTCCCAAACCATCCACAACCTCATCACCTCAGGTGACTTCCCACCCACAGCCTCCAACCTCATCATTCCCCAACCCCGCACCACCCGTTTCTATCTCCTTCCCAAAATCCACAAACCTGACTGCACTGGTCGATCCATTGTCTCCGCCTGCTCCTGCCCCACCGAACTTATCTCCACCTATCTCGACTCCATGTTCTCCCCCTTGTCCAGGAACTCCCTACCTACGTCCGTGACACCACCCACGCCCTCCACCTCCTCCAGAACTTCCAATTCCCTGGTCCCCAACGCGTCATCTTTACCATGGACGTCCAGTCCCTATACACCTGCATTCCCCATACAGATGGCCTGAAGGCCCTCCGCTTCTTCCTGTCTCGCAGGCCCGACCAGTCTCCCTCCACTGACACCCTCATCTGCTTAGCCGAACTCGTCCTCACCCTCAACAAAATCTCTTTCAATTCCTCCCACTTCCTATAGACAAAGGAGGTGGCCATGGGTACCCACATGGGCCCAAGCTATGCCTACCTCTTTGTAGGTTACGTGGAACAATCCCTCTTCCGTAGCTACACTGGCCCTAAACCCCACCTCTTCCTCCGTTACATCGATGACTGTATCGGCGCCGCCTCATGCTCCCACGAGGAGCTCGAGCAGTTCATCCACTTCACCAATGCCTTCCACCCCAACCTTAAGTTCACCTGGACCATCTCTGATACCTCTCTCTCCTTCCTGGACCTCTCTGTTTACATTTCTGGCCACCACCTAGAAACTGATATCCATTTCAAGCCCACCATCTCCCACAGCTTCCTAGAATACACCTCCTCTCACCCACCTTCCTGCAAAAATGCCATCCCTTGTTCCCAATTCCTTCGCCTCCGCCGCATCTGCTCCCAGGATGAGGCATTCCACTCCCGTACATCTCAGATGTCCTCGTTTTTCAAGGACCGCAACTTTCCCCCCTCAGTGGTCGAGAATGCCCTCAACCGTGTCTCCCCCATTTCCCACAACTCATCCCTCACACCCTCTCCCTGCAATAACAACCAAAACAGAATCCCCCTCGTCCTCACGTACCACCCCACCAACCTCCGGATCCAACGCATCATCCTCCGACACTTCCGCCATTTGCAATCCGACCCCACCACCAAAGACATTTTTCCCTCCCCACCCTTATCTGCTTTCCGGAGGGACCACTCTCTCCGGGACTCCCTTGTCCGCTCCACACTCCCCTCCAGCCCCACCTCACCCGGCACTTTTCCCTGCAACCGCAGGAAGTGCTACACCTGCCCCCACACCTCCTCCCTCACCCCCATCCCAGGCCCCAAGAAGACTTTCCACATCAAGCAGAAGTTCACCTGCACATCTGCTAATGTGGTATACTGTATCCGCTGTACCCGTTGTGGCCTCCTCTACATCGGGGAAACCGAGCGGAGGCTTGGGGACTGCTTTGCAGAACACCTACGCTCGGTTCGCACTAAACAACTGCACCTCCCAGTCGCGAACCATTTCAACTCCCCCTCCCACTCCTTGGACGACATGTCCATCCTGGGCCTCCTGCAGTGCCGCAACGATGCTACCCGAAGGTTGCAGGAACAGCACCTCATATTCTGCTTGGGAACCCTGCAGCCCAATGGTATCAATGTGGACTTCACAAGCTTCAAAATCTCCCCTCCCCCTGCTGCATCCCAAAACCAGCCCAGCTCGTCCCCGTCTCCCTAACCTGTCCTTCCTCCCACCTATCCCCTCCTCCCACCTCAAGCCCCACCCCCATCTCCTACCTACTAACCTCATCCCGCCCCCTTGACCTGTCCGTCCTCCCTCGACTGACCTATCTCCTCCCTAACTCCCCACCCACTTTACTGGCTCCATCCCCGCCTCTTTGACCTGTCTGTCTCCTCTCCACCTATCTTCTCCTCTATCCATCTTCTATCTGCCTCCCCCTCTCTCCCTTTATATTTCAGAACCCCCTTCCCGTCCCCCATTTCTGAAGAAGGGTCTCGGTCCGAAACATCAGCTTTCCTGCTCCTCTGATGCTGCTTGGACTGCTGTGTTCATCCAGCTCTAAACCTTGTTATCTCAGATTCTCCAGCACCTGCAGTTCCTACTATCTCTGAAACAAATCCGAGCGAGGCGGGTTGGAAAATTGGCTTAAAATCTGGCTTCTTTCACTAAAAATTACCTTTTGTCGTAAAAATCCAATGAAATGTTCTTTAGTGATAGTAAACTGCCCTTATCCAGACTCCTAACTGAGTGTGTTAACAGTCAAACCACCAAATGGAACAAAAACAAATTTGCTGGAAAAGCTCAGTAGGTCTGGCAGCAACGGTGAAGGAAAAAACAGAGTTAACGTTTCGGGTCCGGTGACCCTTCCTCAGATCCGGACCCGAAATGTTAACTCTGTTTTTTCCTTCACCGATGCTGCCAGACCTACTGAGCTTTTCCAGCAACTTTGTTTTTGTCCCTGATTTACAGCATCCGCAGTTTTTATTAACCACCAAATGGAGTTCAGCCTAAATACCCTGAGGCATTTTTCTAGAAGTGTCTATGTTTTTCTGGCCTTCATTAAAAGGTGGGGGTGGCAGGGGGAAGTCCCCTTTCTGAGGTTGTGGGGGGGACACACATTTAAAAGTGACAACATTGACAGGAATTTCTGAGCCTCTGTGATTCCACTCCACACAGTGCGCTGTTTAATATTGGAATTGTCGTGCCGATGATGGTCATAAAGTGGTTCTCCTTTAGTTTCAGTGTGGAGCAGAATGCCAGACGCAGCAATCCTCTCCATCACCATGACATCGACCTCTCAGGGAACCGTCTCCCAAAGAGATAATAGAATGCTCCCCATTTCCCAATCCGAGAGCCTCCTTGGTTTGTGTTGAATTGCAGACAGTTCAAAGGTACAGGGGGGTGTTTGTGTCAGCTGCAGAATTGAACCCTTGCCTGGAGTCACGAGGATCACATGCTAATCAACTCTTCCCCCGTCAGTTGTTTAAAATTGAGTGAAAGATTGTGATGTTTGGAGTTCATGTTGAAGAAAAACCTGTCTTCCTGTTGCCCCCGTTGAGTCATAGAATCATAGAGGTGTGCAGCACAGAACAAGCCCCTTCAGCCCATCGATTCTGCATTGGTCAAAAACAACCACCTCACTATTCTGAGATAACAAGGTATAGAGCTGGATGAACACAGCAGGCCAAGCAGCATCAGAGGAGCAGGAAAGCTGACATTTCGGGTGTGGACCCACCTCACTATTCTAATCACTTTCCAGCCTATAGTCTTGGTATTGCAAGTGCACATCTAAATACGTTGTCAATGTTATGGGGGTTTCTGCCTCTCCTACCCTTACAGGCAGTGAGTTCCAGATTCCCACCACCCTTTGGGTGAAAACATTTTTCCTCACGTCCCTTCTAAACCTCTGCCCTTTACCTTAAATCAATGTCCCCTGTCATTGATCCCTCCTCAAGGGGAAAAGTTTCTTCCTGTCTACACTATCTATGCTCCTCATAATTTTATACATCACAGTCACGTCCGAAGAAAACAACCCCAGTCTGTCCAATCTCCCTTCATCCCTGAAGCCCTTCAGCTCAGGCAACATCCTGGTAAATCTCTTCTGCCCCCTGTCTAGTACTAGCACATCCCTCCTATAATGTGGATTTCAGAGCTATCTCCGAATCCATGCGGCCTGTGATTTTGAGCAGATGGACGTACATTGCTCCCTGACCCATCCCCTCCAATGCTGTCTACTTCCACAGATCCCATTGTGCAGGGACAGGCAAACTTGGGCTACGTGGGAAGAAGCCAACGGGATAGAGACATTTATGTTACGGCCAATAATCACAGGCTTCACTGGCGGTGGAAATAATTCCATCATAATTTTCCAAAGGATTTTGGATCATTACTTATAGACATTGGGAAAGAGTGGGATTGATTGGATGGCCTTTTCGAAGAGCCAGCATGGACATGATGGGCGGAATGTTGGTTTTTAGAGTTGGGTCTAAAATCAGGAGGAATGTCCAAAGGGGCAGGTTTTCTTTTGTACGATTGCATTCTTCTTAGCTCATCGCAGGTGCACAAGTGGCTAAGACGCCAACTTTAGGCACGGGTGACTTGGCTTTCCCCACTGGGATCGTCCGGGCTCTAGCCTCTGGGCACCATACTGAAAAGCACCCGATTGGAATCTACCCTCTTCAACCCAGGAGCATTGCTGAACTTCTCTCCAGCTCCTGGAGATGCCAAGAGGCTGGTTCACCCCAACACTACCTCACCCATCTAAAATCTCCATGTGGTTCAGAAAAATTCCACCCATTCTGGCTACCTCCAGTGTTTTTTGTTTATTTATGCATGGGACATGGGCGCTGTTGGCTAGCCCAGCATTTATTGCCCATCCCTAATTGCCCAGAGGGCAGTTAAGAGTCAACCATATTGCTGCGGGTGTGGAGTCACATGTAGGCCAGACCAGGTAAGGATGGCAGTTTCCTTCCCTGAAGGACATTAGTGAACCAGATGGGTTTTTCCCGACAATCAACAATGGATTCGCGGTCATCATTAGATTCTTAATTCCAGATTTTTATTGGATTCAAATTGCACCATCTGCTGTGATGGGATTCAAACCCAGATCTCCAGAACATTGCCTGGTCTCTGGAATAACACAGTAATGCCACAAGGCCTTCGACCTCCCCCTGTTGTAGGATTCAATCATTCTGAAGGCTGCTCCTAGTGAAACAGCCCAGTATTGTGTGGCGGGGTAGAACAGAAGACAGTTCGAGAGACAGTCTGCCCGTTCAGAACAACACCGTGATCCATTAAGTGTTTTGCTTGCTTTTCCCACAGACAAAGGAGGGTCAGATCCAGGTCATTGGTAACTTGAAGAATATCTCCATGGCTTCCAGCAAACTGCTCCTCGCTGCCAAGTCGCTATCTGTTGATTCTGCTGCACCCAATGCCAAGAATCTCCTGGCAGCAGCTGCCCGGTAAGGACCACTTTTACAACCATTGTGCTTTGCTTTATTTCGGCCAGAGTTCGAGCCTGCTCCACTACCACCCGGTCAGCTGTGGCGCAGTGGGTAGCCTGCACTCGCCTCTGAGTCAGTCGGCCATGCGTCTGAGCCTCATTCTAGACAGCTGAGCGCAAAATCCAAACTGAGGGAGCCCTGCACTGTCAGCGGAGACATTGAATCACTAGGATGGTTCTAGGCATAAGGACACTTCAGTGATAAGGATAGACTGAAGAAACATAGAGAATAGGTGCAGCAGTGAGCCATTTGGCCCTTCGAGCCACCATTCAAAAGTTGGGACTGCTTTCCCTGGAAAGAAGGAGATCTGACACACATTTTCAAAATCATCGAGTGGTCAAGACAGAGTCAATTGGATGAAGCTGCCTCTGCTTGTCAAAAAGTAGATATAAAGTGATGTGCAAGCAAAGTAAGGCTGATGTAACAGAAAACCTTTTCATGCAGCATGAGTAGTTAGGGTGTGGAATGCTCTGCTTGGAAATATGGTGGAGACAGGTTCAATTGAGACATTGAACAGGGAACTGGCTGGCTTTTTTTTTGGATAGAAATGGTGTGCAGGATGTGGGGAAAAGGCAGGAGATTGGCAGTAGATATCAGAGCTGGAGCGGGCCCGACAGACCAAGTGGCTTGTCTCCGCACCGTAATGATTCTGTGATTCTTTCAGGGGAAAGATCAAACCAAGGGTCTGCATGCTTGGCCATGATTTAGAAGAAGGATGGAGGGAGGTGGACGGAGATCCACCCTTGAGTCTTGGCCAATGGTTGTCTGTCAACCAGCACTGCTCAAAGGGAATGGGATTGTTGGGGCAGGGGGAGCCCCAGATTATTGTCTAATGTTGGATTCCTCTTGCGGGAGCTTGCTGTGTACAAATTCGCTGCCAGGTCTCCAAGCCTGGCAACAGGAGCGCCCTTGAGGAGCACATTACTGAGGACATGAATATCTTTGGGTTGTCCTGAGGCCATGAAAGTTGCGAGTCTGTCTTGTAAGCATCGTGTCTAAGTTAATGAAGCGGACCTGGTTGAAGTTGTATTAAAGTGTTAGTTTAACAGAAAGTGTATCTGATGTCTTCCAGGGCTGTGACTGAGAGCATCAATCAGCTGATTACTCTCTGCACCCAGCAGGCTCCTGGTCAGAAGGAGTGTGACAACGCTCTCCGAGAACTTGAGGTACAGACTAAAAACCAAACTCTTGACACCCTCTATCCATCCAGCTCATTGACATCATGAATGTTAATCCTTTCACTTTCTGTCCTTTCCAATCTTACCAGGAAAGCAGGTCAGGTGGGGTGAAATAGTTAACCTTGGCACTGATGATGTATAAATTTAAAAACTTGGAAAACTGAGATTTGGATCCATAAAATGGCTTAAGATTGTGCAGGCAAGATCTGTGTGCTGGGAGATCGAGGTGGATTTTACACGGTCAACTTAACTAGCGGCTAAATCCCAGTGGCTAACTAGTAACCATCATCGAACCCACAGCGAAGGAGATTAAATGTTGGATTTTAATCAAAGTCCCTACAGTCATGTACAGTGAAATCTCAATGGATAGCTCACTGGGCAGTCGAAGTTTGATGGGGTGATCTCTGAGAAGTAAATGTCTCTGAGTTAACGATCCAGAGATCCAGATTATTGCTCCAATCCTACCTAAGCAGTTGGTGGAATTTCAATTCATTTACTCGTTCAGAAAAATAAAAAATGTTAATCTCGGTGACTGTGACCATGACATCTGTCATCGATTGTTGTAAAAACCCGTCTGGTTCGCCTTTAGGGATGGAAATCTACCGAACTTACCCAGTCTGGCTTACATGTTCCTCCAGACCCACAGCACTGTGCTTAGAGTCATACAGCACAGAAACAGACCCTTTGGTCCAGCTCGTCAATACTGACCAGACATCCCAATCTGACCTCGTCCCATTTACCAGCATTTGGCCCATATTGCTCTAAACCCTCCCTATTCATAGACCCATCCAGGTGCCTTTTAAATATTGTAATTATACCAGCCTCCACCACTTCCTCTGGCAGCTCATTCCATACACGCACCACCCTCTGCATGAAAAAGTTACCCCTCAGCTTTCTTTTAATTCCTTCCCTTCTCACCTTAGAGCCATGTCCTCTAGTAAACTGCCCTCTGAAATGGCCTCACTCTGTTCAGCACCCACATCTCATTGAAAGGATGTTTTTATCTAAAGCAAAGGCATTGAGTACAGAAAGGAAGGAGATAATGCTAAATTACAGGTTAGATGCCAGCTGGAGTAAGATTTTAAGAAGGATGCTAAGTCCTTTAGACGAGAGGAGATTTTGCAGCATAATACCAGGGCTGAGATTCTGGAAGGGGGATTTTTTCCCAGAAGCAAGATCCTTAACAGAGTTTGAATTGGTCAAGACTGTGAAAGGTTCTGGTAAAGTAAGTAAATGGAAACCGTATCCAGTGGCAGAAGGGACAGTAACCAGAGGACACAGATGTAAAGATTTGGCAAAAGGACCAGGTCAAAATTAGAAGAATTTTTTTGTGAGCAGACCTGAAATGCAGTGCCTTTAAGAGCAGAAGAAGCAGTTGCCAGAATAAGTCAAAAGAGACTGGGATAAATACTTAAAAGAGAATAATTGGGGATTGCACATAATTGGCTAGTTCTTTCAAAGAGACAGTACTGACATGATGGTCTGAATGGCCTCTTCTGGTGCTTTATTGTTCCATTACCTTAGACAATGTGAACTCCACCCCAGCTCCATGTTCAGGCGGTGTGTAGGGAGTGTGTTAGATTCTGTATATTTCTCTCGTGCTACGTGAGACAGTTTCACTGTTGGGAGTCAGTACTGGCTGTCACTAACCAACCATCTGGAAAGGAAACTGAGATGAATTAACTGGAGGGCTGTTTTCTTCATATATTGAGGTACAAGCCTGAAATTTCTGAGAGTCAGCCGGTCAGTTAGTTCGCTAGCTAGTTCTGGCATTGGTTGATAATGGATGTGGATTCAGTAACTTGCAATTTTGGAAATGTTTGCAGACTGTCAAAGGCATGCTGGAAAATCCCAATGACCCTGTCAGTGACCTCTCCTATTTTGACTGCATTGAGAGTGTGATGGAGAATTCCAAGGTATGTCAACTTTCCTTTGGGAACGATTTTGGCGAATTTGGTTTGTGACACGCTGCGCCATCTCTTTTCCCTTATTTTCCCTTTTCTGTTGTCTCTGGCTGCTCCAGGTCCTCGGAGAGGCTATGACAGGGATCTCTCAGAAAGCCAAGACCGGTGATCTTCCAGCATTTGGGGAATCTGTTGGCATCGCCTCCAAGGCGCTGTGTGGCCTGACAGAGGCAGCGGCTCAGGTGGGCAGCAATTTCCGAACTCACCCTGGCAGCCTTGAGATGAGTATAACTCCAGTCCTACCTCTGAGAGAGGAGCCTCCACCCAGAGTAAAGCATGGAATAGAGGGGAGAACCCCAGAATCATCTCAAAAATGATTGGTTTGATACATTATTGTCACATGTGCGGAGATACAGTATAAAGTGTTCTTTGTGTGCTGACCAGACAATTCATTCCTTATGTAAGTATATCAAGGCAATAGAACATAATGCAGAATATAGTGTTACAACTATGAGAGGTGCAAAGAAAGATCAACTCTAACATACGAGAGGTCCGCTCATAAGTCTGATAACAGCAGGGAAGAAGCTGTTAGTATGTGTTTTCAAGCTTTTGTATCTTCTGCCTGATGGAAGAGAGTATAACCAGGGTGGGAGGGGGTTTTGATTACTTTGGCTGCTTTCCTGAGGCAGTGGGAAGTGTAGACGGAGTCATTGGGAGGGAAGCTGGTTTGTGCAATGGACTGGGCTGTGTTCACAACTCTCTTATTTCTGGCAGTCTTGGGCAGAGCAGTTGCCACACCGAGCTGTGATGCATCTGGACAGAGTGCTTTCTATGATCGGACATAGCGATGTTCAGGACAAGAGTGACATTCCTGTGCTATGGTGGGCTGAATGGCCTTCATCCTCAGTAAATGGGATGAGAAATTCATTGAGATATATTTTCATAACAAAGAAAGAACTAGCTTTTCTAGGACTCCTTTTAAGTTTCCCCTTCACAGATGTGGATTCCGAAATCTGCTTCTGAAGTGTCAGAACCTGCCCATCATCGTTTGGTCTGTTTTGTTGAAGCTGCATGGAGCCATGTGTTATATCCCAGTAGTCACTAGTCCAGCAAAGTACGTATGACAGGTTAGAATCATCAAATCCCTGCAGTGCGGGAAGAGGCCATTTGGCCCATCGAGTCTGCACCAATCCTCCAAAGGGCATCCCATTCATACCCAGCACCTGGCCCAATTCCCTTAGTCCTGCATTTCCCATGGCCAATCCACCCTCACCTGCACATCTTTGCACTGTGGGAGGAAACCAGAGGAAACCCATGCAGACACAGGGAAAATTTGCAAACTCCCATAAATTTGCAAACTCCCAAGGCTGGGATCGAACCCAGGTCACCGGTGCTGTGGCACTCAGCAGTGCTGACCACTGAGTCATCCTCCAGGTTTGAAATGTTTGCACCAGTCTCCATAAATGTTACCATTCGCACCATTAAAATGAAACTAAACTCAAAGCTGTAAACTTTTACAGTGAGCACGTTCTGTAAAATGAAAACCTGTCATTGCTCTGTAATTGCACAAGCCACTCACCATCCTGACTTGGAAATATATCGCCGTTCCTTCAGTGTTGCTGGGTCAAAATCCTGGAATTCCCTCCCTAAGGGCATTGTGGGTCGACCTACAGCACATTGGCTGCAGAGGTTCAAGAAGGCAGCTCACCACCACCTTCTCAAGGGTAACTAGGGATAGGCAACAATTGTTGGCCCAGTCAACTACGCCCACCTCTAAATAAATGAAAACTACAGACAGGAGAAGACTTTGGAAACAGTTCAGCTTCCCTAACACAACAAGGAAACTTTATTCTTCACAACACAAATACACTGACACACGCACAGACAGGCACACACACATGCACAGACACACGTGCACATACCGATACAGATACACACAGACACGCGCACGCACACAGACACACGTACGCACACACAGACATGTGTGCACACACACAGACACACGTATACACACACAGACACGCCCATACACACATGCGCACCCACAGATATACACACAAACTCCATCCAAAACCATGTGATTTCCTGCAGAGGTAGAAATGCCAGTGAAATCCCAAGCAAGACCAGTTCTGTGGATGGAAAATTCCTCCCCTATAACCTTGGCGCAGTTCCCACTCCCACTCCTGAAGCGATCAAAGCCAATCGAGGAGACCACTGATGAACGTTTTGTGGGACTGATCCCTCGCTCGAGATGAATTCTACTCAAGCCACAAAATATACGCAGCAATGTAAAAAGGTAAAAGTGTGTAAAAGGAATACAGACTCTTGGCATCAGCACACAAGATTACAAACTAAACAAATCTCTAGGATAAAGGGCCATGTTTTGATCTTTTTGTTATCCCATCCCTACCTCAGTACGCTTACAACTGACCTGTGATCATTGAATATTGCTTTGGGAGCTGTGACTTTGAAATGGCCATCATTGTATAAAGTGGAGCATGGCTAAGCTGGGGTTGCATTTTGTCCTCTCAGAGATTCATTCAAACAAGTAACCTAAGATATGAGAGCTGATCTTATCTAAAGGTATAACTCAAACTGTCTGAAAGCAACTCAACACTCAAGGGAAACAGAAATAGCTGGAGAAACTCAGCAGAATTTGCTTTCTCTCCACAGATGGTGCCAGACCTTTTTCCAGCAATTTTCTGTCATTGTTTCAGATTTCCAGCATCTGCAGTTCTTTGTTTTATATTGCCAATGCTTAAGAATTAAGAATGCGCTCGGGGTTAGCCGTGAAGATGGGTTGGGATACCAACACGTCATCAACCCAACTCTTTACTGAGTTTATTACATCTCCCTTCATGCAGGCTGGTTATCTGGTTGGGATATCGGATCCCAACAGCCAAGCTGGGCACCAGGGCCTAGTGGATCCCATCCAGTTTGCTCGAGCTAATCAGGCGATCCAGATGGCATGCCAGAATCTGGTGGATCCAGCGAGTAGCCCATCACAGGTAAAAGGGGAGAGGAGTGACGTTGCTGAGTGCTGACGCCCTGTTTGGGTTTGGTGTCCGTGGTAATGTGTAACTCCCACCCCGTGCAGGTGCTGTCTGCCGCCACCATCGTCGCCAAACACACTTCGGCGTTGTGCAACGCTTGCCGGATCGCCTCCTCCAAAACCGCCAACCCCGTCGCCAAGCGGCACTTCGTCCAGTCGGCCAAGGAAGTTGCCAATAGCACTGCCAACCTCGTGAAGACCATCAAGGTAACCATGTGTAATGGCTAGAGATAACACAGTGTGGAGGTGGAAGAACACAGGAGGCCAGGCAGCAATTCCTGAAGAGATTTCTGAAGAAGGGTTCCGACCCGAAACATCAGCTTTCCTGCTCCTCTGATGCTGCCTGTCCTGCTGTGTTCCTCCAGCTCTACACCTTGTTATCTCTGACTCCGGCAACGGCAGTTCCTACTATCTCCACGTGTGACAGCTATTTGTATGTGTGCAATCCATTTGTGTAGCTGGCCCTTCGATTGTTTAGAACATTGTTCTAGTTCTTGAAATCCAGTTGTACGATGTATTTAACAACCGTCAAATGATTTTCCTCATTAGACTGCAAGTGTTTCCTTTATAAAGTCATTTTCAATACAAACCAGTGCAGATATATATTAGTTTTTTTATGGCCAGGTGCCCATTGTTCAGTTCACTTTGCTTTCGTGCTGGTTAGGTTCTCTTTTGGAATTGTTATGGATCAGACCACACCCCCTCAAAATGTTCAGAAGATAGTCTAGATCCTAACTTTTTCATACTTTAAAGGCAATATAAAGTACCGTGCTCTCGATACACTCCTGGTCAAACTACTGGTTGTTAACCAAACACTATTTATTCAAACTCTATAGTTAAAATACAAGAAAAGAAAGAAGGAATTGGAATAACTTAACTCCTTTGGAAAACTTAACAGAATAATAGATACAGTAACTATTAGTAATTAATTATTCCAATATAGTAACATCCCATAAACACACCCTTGGCAAAAGACAAATTCAGGAAAACGGATTGTCTCACATGCAACTCCAGCAGCAGGAAGTGTACCCCTAGCTTTTTCCTGTAACCCAGAGAGCGAAAAAGTAGCTTCCACCTCTTCAAGACCCCAGCAACAACTGCTGAAAACTAAAAACTAAAAGAAACCTGGCTCTGTGTGAACTTGACCACACTTATTCACACTGCTTCTATTGTTCCAACTTAAGAAAAAAGCACCTAAAGCTTCACAAGTTGTTTATCTCCTCATAGACTGCTTGGGGCCTGTCCGCCAATCTCCCTCTAAATAGAAACTGGGACAAAACACACCTCTTAGAGCCACAGTAGCATCACAGAATATTCTATCCTCGGTTTCACGGTATCAGCCCTTCACAGAACGTGGGTGGTCACCTGTAATAATGCTGTGGCCTTCAAGAGGTTATTTTGTCCTGTTTTTTATTTGAAGAGAGGTTGTAAGGCAGAGGTAGCGAACTGTCTCTAAGAAAGTAAACAACTTGTGAGGCCTTGGGTTTTTTTTTGTAAAGTTGAAACAACAGAAGCAGCCCGGGTGTGGCTAGCTCTCACGGACCAGGCTTTCTAGTTTTTTTTAGTTTTTAGGTTTAGTTTCAAGAAGAAGTTATTGGGGTCTCAAAAGATTTGCAAGCTGCAGTGAATGTCTCCTGGCTGCTACTATCTCTGAATTTTCCCTGGATGTTTTTACTCTCCTGGATTGGAGAACTGCATGTCAAAATCGGTCAGAATTTTCCCTTTTTCTTTCCCCAAGGGGTGTGTTTATGTGATGTTACTATATTGGAACAGTTAATTAGTAATAGTTACTGTACCTGTTATTCGGTTAAGTTTATCAATAGAATTAAGTTATTCTAAATTCCTCTTTCTTTGATTGTATTATAACTACTGAGTTTAAATCGTGTTTTTCTCAATATCGAATAGTTTGACCAGTTGCATTGCATCAGGAACAGACACTTTACATTTTCCTTTAAAATCCTTTAAAAAACATTAGGGTCCAGGCTACCTTAGAATATTTGGAGGGATCTGTTCTGGTCCATACCACACTCGTTCACAGAACATGAGTGTCAGAATGTGGGTCATACCCCTGTACACAATGTGGTGTCACCCCTGTACAGAATGTGGGTCACACCCCTGTACAAAATGTGGGTGTCACCCCTGTACAGAATGTGGGTCACACCCCTGTACAAAATGTGGGTGTCACCCCTGTACAGAATGTGGTGTCACCCCTGTACAGAATGTGGGTGTCACCCCTCTAAAGAATGTGGGTGACACTCCTGTACAGAATGTGGGTGACACCTGCATACCTTTGGAGTCGAATCACCAGAGTTGGCTTTTGATGCATGTCTGCAACCAAGAGATTGGGAACACAACCTCCTCCAGCTTGAAACAGCTATCCCTATCCCACGGCTGATGCCCTGACACAATCATATTGTGATCAAAGTGCTGACATATTGAGGTGTATTTTTATGTTATTTGTGCATGAGCGATGGGTTCCATGAAGTATCTTCGGTTGCTGTCTCCTTATTCCTTGTGCGTGTTTGTTTATCTCTCATTGCTCACCTCGTGAAGTCTTCACTCCTTCTGTGTCTTGGTTCTCAGGCTCTTGATGGTGACTTCTCTGAAGAGAATCGAGACAAGTGTCGGGCAGCCACTTCTCCTTTAATCGAGGCTGTGGAAAATCTGACGGCGTTTGCCTCCAACCCTGAGTTTGTCAGCATCCCGGCCCAGATTGGAGCTGAGGTAAAACATCTCAGATGTGTGCTCATGGGAGGGCAGGAATTGCTAAGCCAGCAAAGATCAAGACTGTTTGAGTTCACCATCCTAGTAGTCACATGATGATGGCACCCTTGACCAACTCCAGGGATTGATCTTCATCCACGAGTCAGTAACACAGGCGTGGAAAAGCCCCAGCGTTGGAGAGCTTCGGGGACAGTAGGCCCAAAGTCAGCTGCCCCTTCTGGGTCTGCAATGCTCACATCCCATGAAAGAATGAAAAACAAACAAGCTGTATCATTGAGAAAGCCAGCACTTTTCACATGTCCCCTAACTGCCCTTGAGAAGAGGTGGTTAATGGCTTCCTTCCCTTCCAAAGGGAATTCTGGGACTAGAGTTATTAGAGAACCATGTGTTTTCATTAAAGCTCCAGGAGTGCCAGGACCACCATTACTGAGATGGGCTTTTTATTCCAGATTTATTTAACTGAATTTAGATTCCCCAGCTGCTTTGCTTAGGATGTGGACTTGTACCTTCAGATCTCCACTATTGCAACCTTTGCTCCTTCATCGAAAGATTTGAAACACAAATAATCCCTTCAGGGCACAGATATTGATTATTTAGATATGTCCTGATTTCACTTTGACTGTGCCTGTGAAAGCATTTTTCCTGTGTCACTCACATGAAGCATTAGTTTATAAAAAAAAACTCAATACAGAGCACTCTGATAACTGCTGTAAGTACTGACCCTGGACACGCATCCCCTGCAGGGTCAGGCAGGGCTGAGTAGCATTATAAGGCACAGGCTAATAGAACAATAATCTGGTCTCTACAGAACAAGGCTAATGTTGGTAATTTACAACACTGCAAATAGGTCTAGTTACAAGCTGTTAAACATTAATGACTCTTCAGCACTGGTCCCAGATGTAAAACACAGACGCATTACAGAATCAGGAAAGAGAGACATTTTATATCTGTAGGTTAATGTTTATTGACAGTGAATGGTTTCTGTGAGAGAGCACAACTCAGGTGGATTGCAGCATGTTTCACAACAAAGAAATTAGAAGGTATTTTCTAAGATGCTCGTGCTGATAACTCTGTGGCATTCTTTTGACGATCAACTGTGATTGACCTGGCATGATGTAGATTTTGATCAGCTTTGATCTCATGAAGAAAAGCATGAGAGAGGCAGCCTGCCCTGGGCATTAGTGAGGGATAATGATGATGGGTCCAGCTCCTCATTTCTATCCAGTGACCCCTGCAGTTCTGATATGCAAATAGATGCTGCTACCAATCTCCCTTTCATAATGTTTTGACTCCAATGTGACTCTTCCGGCAATTCTGAAGAAGTGTCATACCAGGCTTGAAACGCTAACTTGTTTGTCTCTCCCCAGCTGTTGCTAGACCTGCTGTGGTTCTCCAGCGTTCTCTCCCTTTGTTTCAGATTTCCAGCTTCCGCAATATTTTGCTTTTGTTATTGTGCTGTTCTTCTTGCACCTCTGATATGGCCATCACGTTCATGTCATTCCATCATCAGCGTTTCATCGTACATTGTTATTTTGGTTTGTATGTGTAGTGATTGGGACCAGGTGGATCCATTGACTATGAGATCCTTGATTGGGGTTGTTAACCTGGGCCAAATTTAGATTTTTTCTGAAGAAGGGTCTCGATCCAAAACGTCAGCTTTCCTGCTCCTCTGATGCTGCTTGGCCTCCTGTGTTCATCCAGCTCTACACCTTGTTACCCCAATCAGGAAGCGCTGGCTGACAGATACAAACAGGAGATTCAGAATCTCCTCACTTCAGAGATTGACTCTGAGCTGGCTGGTGCACATGTAAATAGAAGGGGACAGTGACAGGATACCGGCCTCTCTGCGGTTATTTCAGAATGCTTTGTACAGAAGTTATCTGTGTCAATGGGAGTGGATGTATGTTCAGATCAGTGTGATTGCAGAGTGGACTGACTGAACAGGAATAAAAACCATGCTGAGATAGTGTTCATTAGAATCCTTACAGCTCCAAAAGGGCAATTTTGTAGAGCAGCAGGGAATCTTACAATAGTGAATCATTCACAGTCATCACAAAGTCTCAGTTACTGTATATTCGATGCAGGGGTTGGTTAACTCAGCTGGCTGGTGTATGATACAGGGTGGGTTCAATTCCCATTCACAGTGAGAGGTTACCATGAAGAAAACCATGATTGGTTCTCTCTCTCCCTCTCTCTCTCTCTCTCTCTCTCTCTCGGTCTCCTTCTCCCTCTCCCTTGTTCTCCCTCTCCTTCGTTCTCTCTCACTCTCCATCTCGCTCTATCTCCCTCCTTCTTCCTCTACCTCTGTCTCGCCCCTCGTTTTCTCTCTCCGTCCCTCTCGCTCTCCTTCGCTCTGCATCTGTCTCCCTCTCCCTTACCCTCCTTCTCCTTCTCCATCCTCCCTCTCCCTCCCTCTCCTTCTCACTGTTTCTTGTTCTCACTCCTTGTCTCTCTCCTCCGTCTCTCTCTCTCTCCCTCTCGCTCTGTCTCCCTCCTTCTCCCTCTCTCCCTCACTCACTCTTCCTCCCTCTCTCCCTCCCTCCTTCTTCTCTCGCTCTGTCTCTCTCTCTCTCACACACACACACTCACTCTCTCTCTCTCTATCTCTCTGTATATTTATATATCTCTAATGAGAGAGCAGCTCTATGGTCTGGTGAGACGATGGTGACTTTACTTTGACCAGACTCGAAAATCTGTTAACGCTCCGTGTTATTCTGAATTGCCTCCCACAGGGTGCTCAGGCCCAGGAACCAATCCTTGCTGCTGCTCGCTCAATGCTCGACAGCTCATCGTCGCTCATCAAAAGTGCCCGATCACTCGCGATCAACCCAAAAGATCCACCCACTTGGTCCATTCTGGCAGGACATTCCCGTACAGTGTCAGACTCCATCAAGAGCCTCATCACCTCTATCAGGTGAGTTAGTATCAAAATGAACTTTGTAGTTTGCTTGTGAATGAAAATTACATCCGAGGTTCCTGATTGCACGCCTTCAACTTCCAGAGTGTATCTCAGAGCTAGTGTTTTGTATCTCAGAGTTATAGAGTTATAGACCCTTCGATCCAACCAGTCCATGCCAACCATAATCCCAAACTAAACTACTTCCACTTTGCACTTGATCCATATCCCTCGAAACTTGTCTTATTCATGTACTTTTTAAATGTTGTAACTGTACCTGCATCCACCACTTCCTCTGGAAGTTCATTCAACACACGAACTACTCTCTGTGTAAAAAAAAACTGCCCCTCATGTCTTTTTCAAATCTTTCTCCTCTCACCTTAAAAATATGCCCCTTCGCCCTGAAATCTCTCTGTTCTGCAACACTATCCAAGGCCCGACTTTAATTGTCTATTTTTAGTTGTCCTTGTTTGTTTTACCAAAATGCAATACTTTGCATTTATCCAAATTAAACTCCACCTAGCACTCGTCAGCCCATTGACCCAATTGGTCAAGATCTCTTTGTAGTCTCAGATAAGCTTCTTCACTGGCCACTATAACACCAATCTTGCTGTCATCTATAAACTGACTAACCATTCTTTCAATATTCACATCCAAATCATTCAGATAGATGACAAACAAAAGTGGACTCAGCATCAATTCCTGTGGAATAGGCCAAAAACAAAACTGATGTGAAACATTCATTTAATATCTCTCCCATCTCCTGATGGTGACCTCTTTGACGTTTAAAGAGCCCTACTTTCTTACTACTTGCTGTTTTGCTGTTAATGTATCAGTTGTATCTCTTTGGATTATCCTTAACCTTATTTGCCAAAGCTATCTCATATCCTCTCTTTGCCTTCCTTATCTCCCTCTTAAGAATGCCCCTACACACTTAATACTGTTCAAGAGATTCATTTGAACCCAGTTGTCTATATCTAATATATGATTCTTTTTTTATTTTTGACTAGGACCTCAATATCTTTATTCATCCATTGTTCCCTAATCTTACCAGTCTTACCCTTCACTCTAACAGGAACATAATGACTCTGAACTCTCGTTGTCACACTTTTAAAAGTTTGTGTTTTGGGTCCATTTCCGTCATTCTCCTGACCCTCTCTGATAATGTCCATTCACTCCCAACTCCAACCCAGCTGTGTCAGGGAGAGGACTGGATATGTATCTGCCACAGGAAAATCCCGGGAAGGTGGAGATCCTGTTGGATTTAGAGCCAGGACCACAATGGAATTTATTTTGCTGGGAGCCCGTACGAGGCATGGCAGAGAAGATCAGCCATTTCTGGGGACGGGCATCCAAGTAAGAGGCAGGAGGGAGAGGAGAATCAGGTCCTGTGGAGATGTGACTGTTGTGAGTGATGTGAAGGTTGGGGGTGGGAGGAGAGATGGTAGAGGTGGGAGCTGGTTGGGCCATTGTGATAGGAGAGCCGAAAGACCTGGTGGTAGGGAGCTGTACTCCTTAGTGCAACATGGTGGCTCAGTGGTTAGCACTGCTGCCTCACAGCACCAGGGACCTGGGGTTCGATTCCATCCTCAGGTGACTCTCTGTGTGGAGTTTGCACATTCTCCCTGTGTCTGTTTGGGTTTCCTCCCCCAGTCCAAAGATGTGCAGGTTAGGTGGATTAGCCATGTTAAATTGTCCATAGTGTCCAGGGATGTGCAGGTTAAGTGGGTTAGCTATGGGAAATGCAGGATGATAGGGTTGGGGGTGTGGGTCTGGGTGGATGCTCTTCAAAGTTTTGGTATGGACTGAATGGCCTGCTTCCATTCTGTAGGGATGCTATATTTTCCCAGTTAATATCCATTACAATTTGCGCTCCTCTGAATTTTGCAATGCACCAGTAATTCCTGAAGAAGGGTCACTGGACCCAAAACCTTAACTCTGCTTTCTTTCTCCACAGATGCTGTCAGAGCTGCTGAGTTTTCCCAGTAGTTTCTTTGTTTTTGTTTGTTAATCCATGAGCAGCTCTGACGATAACTTAACTGCAGTGATTTATTGTATTATACCGGGTATGTGGCTAACAGAAGGCTCAGTGCTAATTGTTGGCCGAGCGTTGAAGGTGTTGGTCAGGACAGATGTGTATTGGAATGTGCGAGTGAGCTGCTGTTGTACGAACCTGTTTTTCTCTGCCCAAGGGACAAGGCTCCAGGCCAGCGGGAGTGTGACAGCTCCATTGACAACATTAACAAGTGCATCCGGGAGATCGAGCAAGCCTCATTGGCTGCAGTCAGCCAGAACCTGCCCACCAGAGACGACATTTCCCTGGAGGTAAAGTACAGATTTTCTATGCTGCTTCACTAACTGCAGTGTCGCCTCCTAGAGGGGAGGGAATTGCCTGCATTTGGTCTCCGATGAGCGTTTGAAATGTGGGCCTTCGTGCAGGGACACAGGCAGATCTTGGGCTTTGATAAACAGTAAACATTGTTTGAATTGACAGAAGGTAAAATAGAGAGGGAGGCAGTGCCTGGACTCCGTGCTTTTCATAGGTTCTCGCCTTTTTGATGGGGTACAGAAAGAGGTATTTTTTGTTATTCATTTATGGATGAGGATGTCGCTGGCTACTCTAGCTCCTTTTGCTTATGATCTTAAGCTCTGTTTTAAGTTGCAGTCTGCTTCTATTTAATGGATGTTGTTGGTGTTAGCACAACTAGAACACCAGAGATCGATAACCTGAACTATTGTGAATGTTTGCAGTTGAACTTTATATTGAGAAGTGCAGTGCAAACATAAGGATTTGCTAAAACCATATCAATTACTCTGGTTGAGCATTGCGTTCAGTTTTGGGCATGACACTTGACGATGCCAGTCAAAGGCTTAGAGAGGGTGCATGGGAGATTTACCGTATTAGTACGGGGCTAAGAGACCACAGTTCTGTGAAGACACTGGGAAAACGGGGATTACTCCCCTGAGAGCATTCAATCAAGATTGTTCAGCATCATGAGGAGTAAGTGGAGTAAAACTATGCCCAGTGGCCGAAGGTTTGGCAATCTGAGAGTGTGCACAATTTACCATGAATTTACCACAACTGGCAGCAGGACCAGAAGGTGGCATGAGGAAAGGGTCATCGCAGTAACCTTGGGACACACCAAACAGATTAATAGTAACTTCCAAAAGGAGAATGTGATTTTTGTTCTCTCCCTTATTCATTCTTGGGGACATGTGCTGGCCAACATTTGTTGACTATCCCTAGTTGCCCTTGAGCAGGTGGCAATGGAATGGTTTACTGAACCGCTACAGTCCATTTGGAGTGGGGGTGATACACCCACCTTGCTGTCGGTGGGGATATGGAGCCAGAATCAACAAAGGACCCTTAGTATCTCTCTCCATGTAGAGAGGATCAGTTCATTGTGAGTAGGGGGGGTAACCAGTTCCACCAGCATAGGGGTATGGAGAAGGGGCATGAACAACCTGCTGGCTTGAGGATTGAAGCTACGGTGTTGGATTTATTCTGCACTGCACGCTAAAGTCATTTACTCAACTGAGTGAATCAATCCCTTGTGATGGAGAGCATCCCAGGATTGTGAGCTCGAGACAGTGAAGGATTGGCAATTCCAAATCAGAATGGTGTGCCCCCTTGTGGTGCAAGAGTGAAAACTTGCAATGTCCTGAGCTGGAATCCATTGAGAGTAAGAAACAACTTATTTGAGCCAAGATAGACGGAATGGCATTGAAGTATAGAGTTTGACTGAGTATTCACTCCCATATCTGTACCTATTACCCATGCTCACTGAGCTTACCTGAAAGCTACCCTGAAATCTGTCGCTTCTGGTTCTCTGACTATATACTTTTGAATATTTAAGAACAGTGATACAGTTTCAAGTCAGGGCACTCATCTCGAAGCCAAACACCATCCCGACTTAGAGCTGTCATCACTGTTCCTAATACTTAAGAATAAATTTGGGAAAAGGAATGTTCATGGGGTTTGTAAAGTAAGTGTAGGGTAATGAGACTGATTAGGAGTTCTGTCATGGAGCTGGTACAGGCAGATGGAGCAAACAGCCTTACACTGTGCTGTGTTATTGTAGCTGAGGGAGTGATGGTGAATGCAGATTCTGGAAGGCAGGTTAAGGCGATAGGCAAGTGGCACATGGAGAGGAAAGGTCTGGACGGTCTTGAGTTTCCAGAGCTTGAGGAAGAGGGGCAGCTAGCCCAGAAATCATTGGAAGAGTTGACGTGTTAAAGTTGAGAGTACGGACTGGAGATGGATGGGCCGCAGACAGGGAGTGTGGATGGGTTGTAGAATGGCAGTGGACATGCCTAGTGATGGTGAGGATCACATTCTCCATGTGTCTGTTGGGTTTCCTCCGTGTGCTCCTGTTTTCTCTCTCAGTCCAAAGATATGCAGGCTAGGGTGGATTGGCCCTGCTAAATTGCCCATAGTGTCCAGGGATGTGCAGGCTAGGGTGGATTGGCCATGCTAAATTGCCCCATAGTGTCCAGGGCTGTGCAGGCTAGGGTGGATTGGCCATGCTAAATTGCCCCATAGTGTCCAGGGATGTGCAGGCTAGGGTGGATTGGCCATGCTAAATTGCCCATAGTGTCCAGGGATGTGCAGGCTAGGGTGGATTGGCCATGCTAAATTGCCCCATAGTGTCCAGGAATGTGCAGGCTAGGTGAGTTAGCCATGGGAAATGCAGGGTCCCAGGGATAGGGTAGGGTTGTGGAATGGTTGGGATGCTCTTCAGAGGGATTGGTGTGGGCTTGATGGGCTGAATGGCCTGCTTCCATGCTGTAGGGATTCTATTTGGGGTCAGCATGGTGGCACAGTGGTTAGCACTGCTGCCTCACAGCACCAGGGACCCGGATTCAATCCCACCCTCAGGTGACTGTCTGTGTGGAGTTTGCACATTCTCCCTGTGTCTGCGTGGGTTTCCTCCGGGTGCTTCGGTTTCCTCCCACAGTCCAAAGATGTGCAGGTTTGGATGGATTGGCCATGCTAAATTGCCCATAGTGTCCAGGGAGGTGCGGTCTGGGTGGGTTAGCCATGGGAAACACAGGGTTCAGAGATGGGGTAAGGGGGAGGTGGATCTGGGTGGAATGCTCGTGAGAGGGTCAGTGCAGACTTGTTGTGCCCAATGGCCTCTTTCCACACTATGGGGATTCTATGATTGTACGAAATGGAGGTCAGAGAACAGCACAGTCTGAGCCTGGAATATTTGGGATGGGATTGAAAGGTTACAATTCGATCAAATATTCATTTTGGGCTGACCAAGCTTATCTCGAAACGGAAGCGGGCAGTTTTTGCTGCCCTGAACGGTGTTGCCTATGTTCTGCTCTCCACTCTAAATGCTTTTTCTGGATTATTCTCTGTTCGGCAGGCCTTGCAGGAACAGATGAGCTCCACCGTGCAGGAAATTGGGCACCTGATTGACCCGATAACCACGGCAGCTCGTGGAGAAGCTGCACAGCTTGGCCATAAGGTAAGGATGGAAGAAATAGGAGGCCATTCAGCCCCAAATGTCTGCTTCACCATTCAATAAGATCATGACTGATCTCCACACACCTCCATGCTCCCTCTATCCTCAAATTCCCTAAGCAATAAAAAAAATTTATTTTAAACATCCTCATCAACTGAGCATCCTCTCTGAGGTGGGCAATTCCGAAGACTCATGATCTTGTGAGCTGAAGATATTTCTCTTCCTCTCAGTCCTGAATGATTGGTCCTTTGACCTGCGAGCGTGCCGCTGCGGGATACAAAGTGAGTAGATCTGTCGCTCCTCCCCTCGATCCCTGTGTGGAATTCCTGTTTGTGTAAACATATCTCCTTCTCTCTCTCTTGTCACATCCAGGTCACTCAGCTGGCCAGTTACTTTGAACCGTTGACCCTGGCCTCTATCGGTGTGGCATCAAAGCTTCTTGACCACCAGCAGCAGATGACCGTGTTGGACCAAACCAAGACCCTGGCAGAGTCTGCATTGCAAATGCTCTATGCTGCCAAAGAAGGTGGTGGTAACCCCAAGGTAAGCTGAGACATAGAGGACAGTTTGCTTATCCCAGCTTTAACTTGTAAACAGTTTTCATTTCATGTGGATCGCTACATTTTGCATGCTGCAGCACAGGTAGTTTCTCTTTACTTCGGAGAGGTGTTTCATGGTTTAGACAATTGCTGTGGTTATTGGTGAGGTGTACACTCCAGCTTTGACCTGGAGCCTCCCTGGGCGAGAGGTTAACCTCCAGGACACTGACAGAATCAATAACTGAAAGGAAGGTCATCGAGGCATTAAACAGCATGAGGTTCTTTCATATTATATCAATTACAAAAAGATCAGAGAGAGGATTTTGTGATTAAACAATTTCTCCTAAAGAGGAAGGTGGTGGCATAATTATAATGCCAATGGACTAGTATTTCAGGGACACAGGTTTAAACCCCATCATGGAATTTAAATTCAGTTAATACATTTCAGTGATGGCGGCCATGAAACTATCATTGATTTTCATAAACTCCAACTGATTCACTAAGCCCTTTAGGGAAGGAAATCAGCCATCTTTACCTGGTCTGGTCTACATGTGACTCCACAATGTCGTTGACTCTTAACTGTTCCCTGAAGTGCCTAAGAAGACCAGGGGCAATTAGGGATGGGAGACAAATACCGGCCTTGTCAACGACGCCACGAGAAATTAAAAAAATATAAAGAACTGTTTGCCTTAGCCACTGGGGTACTTCGGGTGCTTTGGGTGACCAGTGGTGTTGGATTCATGTGATGGAACCTCCAGCAGTCCTTCCCACCCATAATAACACAGCGAGCAGTGGGGCATGGGCAAAGGTTTGATACCCCATTCCTGATCATCGTTGAGGGAGGTGATGGGTGGAGCCACGTCCTGAGGGATGAAGTGAGGCCAATTCAGTCATTGGGCCTGCTCCCGTGCCCTGATAACGGTCAAGGTTGGAGAGACACTGGGATGGAGCAAGGGGAATGTCGCTGGCCATGAGGAGGGAAAGAAGAGTAAAGGCCCACATTTATTCACACTAAGGAAATTTCTTCCCAATTCTTCATTGGCTTCATTAGGGTCTACATTTGTATCTATGGCCTCTATCCTGGTCTCTTCACAAAAATAAGCTGAAATATGCTTTATATACAGTGTTAAACCCTTTCATATTGCGGAGGGTCTCATGAGATTTTATTTCTGGAAATAAAATTAGCATGAACCTAATCAATCTTTTCAATTCACATTGAGAGCGATGTTGCCTAGATAGACTTCAGTAAGGTGTTCGACAAGATTCCACATGGTAGACTGGCTAACAAGGTTAAATCACATGGAATACAGGGAGGACCAACCATTTGGATACAAAGTTGGCTCAAAAGTAGAAGGCAGAGGGTGGTGGTGGGAGACTGGAGGCCTGTGACCGGCAGTGTCCCATAAGGATCGATGCTGGGTCCATTGCTTTGTGTCATTTATATTAATGATTTGGATGTAAACATAGGAGGGATGGTTAGTAAGTTTGCAGATGACACCAAAATTGGTGGTGTAGTGGACAGCGAAGAAGGTTACCTCAGAGTACAACAGGACTTTGATCAGATGGGCCGAGGAGTGACAGATGGAGTTTAATCTAGGTAAATGTGACGTGCTGCATTTTGGTAGGGTAAATCAGGGCAGGACTTATACACTTACTGGTAAGGTCCTGAGGAAAGAGACCTTAGTGCAAGTTCATAGTTCTTTGAAGATGGTGTCACAGGTACACAGGATAGTTGTTGTGGCTGTACAGGACATTGGTTAGGCCACGTTTGGAATACTGTGTTCAATTCTGGTTGCCCCGCTAGAGGAAAGATGTTGTCAAACTTGAAAGGATTCAGAGAAGATTTACACAGAAGTTGCCAGCGTTGGAGGGTTTGAGCTATAGGGAGAGGCTGAATAGGCTGGGGCTATTTTCCCTGCAGCGTCAGAGGCTGAGGGGTGACCTTATAGAGGTTTGTAAACTTATGAGGGACATGGATATGGTGAATAGTCAAGGTCTTTTCCCCAGGGTGGGAGAGTCCAAAACTAGAGGGCAAAGGTTTAAGGTGAGAGGGGAAGATTTAAAAGAGACATAAGGGACAACCTTTTCATATAGAGGGTGGTGTGTGTATGGAATGAACTGCCAGAAGAAGTGATGGAGGCTGGTAGAATTACAACATTTAAAAGGCAACTGGATGGATACATGAATAGGAAAGAATACGGGCCAAACGCTGGCAAATGGGACTAGATTGATTTAGGATACCTGGTCAGCATGGACGAGTTGGACCGAAGGGTCTGTTTCTGTGCTGTATATCTCTATGACTATGGGGAAGGGTTGGGGCAGAGGGGAATTACACCCTGAGGAATAGAGGGTCAGCTTTTCTCCTTAAATGGTAACCAGTAAATTGAGAGATAACGTTGCAGATGCTTTAACCATGTAATAAGACAAGAAACCTGTACTCCTTGTCAGTGCAGGTATTTAGGAAGTCTGAAGAAGTAAAATCTCTGCTATGGGGTATACTTATCCATTGCTGCATTTTCAATTAAGCCAGATATGTTGGCCAGTTGCCTGATGCTAAAGTATAAATTATTGTTTTCTATTTGGAGAAATACTGGATTTGTTGGTGTTTAACTTTCTGCCAAAGCACCACTTCATTCGAAATTGCAATAGGATGGTCTTTCCAACCAAGTACCGGCTGAATTTTGTTTCTGTCACACATCAATTTGACTCTCCGACTTTAATGAAGTTGGACACAGCTTGTAAGTGACATGTAGACCTCATAAATTCAATCGCAAGTGTGTCATTGATAAACTGTCCCAGTCAATCCATTACTTCCTGCTCCCTCCGACGTAATTGCTTCTCTGAAGGTTTGTACACAGGTTCCAGACATCCACCCTGAGCTTAATGATAAGCCACGTTTCTTCTTTTGGACTCTTGCAGTCTGTGAGCCCACCTCTCCAGCCTATTGTTGGACAGAACAAGCAGCAGACAAAGACCCTCATGGGGTAAGGTGATGGTTTAGGTCCGCACAGCCAACATCCCATTTGAGTGCAGAATCCAGAACAGAAGACCTTTGACTTTTTGGAGAGAATGTCCATCACAAGTTGCTTTTGAATTATGAATGCAAACTGTGCCCCACCAGCAGGAGGCAGTACATCGAGTGAGGTTTGTGCATGACTGTAGAATTTCTTGGGTGGCTTTCTTCTTGGAATTCCCCGTGCGGTTTTAGAATTTTGGCAAAATAATCCCCAACAGTCAGGCGATCAGACAAACAGCAGCCCTTCTTCACTAGAACAATAACCAAAATCCCACTAAGTGACCAGCTGTGTGAACAGATTCCAGACCATGGCTCCTGGAGTATTTCATTGTTTGATTTTTCCTCATGTTGTGCGCAGCTCATTTTTGATTCCCTTTCACGAGCGTTTAGTTGTTCCTCACGGCTGTGTGAATTTATTTCTTGTCGTATTAAGTTTGCCTTGTAAACCGTGCCACCTACCCCCCAACTCCCCCCAGCCTCTTACTGCTGTGTTTCTGTTGTCAGGCGTCTGACTAGCCATTCATGACTACAACATTGACTGTGAATATTGTGAGCTGATGTGGACTCTTTGATTTTAACCGGTTTCCACATTACGTTCAGTATGACTGCCCCCTGAAAATTTCATGAGTGCAACAGCTCAACTGAAAATCACTGAAGGACTTTGTTAAAAAATTTGAGTGCAGATACTTTGGGCTCAGTTAATTTATTCACTGATGAACATCGTCTCAACACAGTGACTTTTCTCTATTTAGAGCCCCATTAATGGACGTTTTGATGGTTATCCTGCAGCAGTACTGTGGTGAAGATTCATATTTCATTCTCCATTTACTGAGCTACAGCTTTTGTAAATATTGGTACATATTTGAACTTCATTCTGTGGTGCTGTCAAAGACATAAATTGGAATGTGGTAGGCACCAGAAAACCTGTTCCTGTGGCATGGCACAGCAGGCTAAACGGGCCAAGTGGCTTACTCTTGTTCTTCCTTTGCCACCCTTTATAGATTTCCAATTTCCTACATTCTGAACTTGCATGTTGGAAAACTTGAAGTTGAGTTTGCCTGTGAATAGTTTTGTGCAGAAATGCTAAAAGTCGCTGTTTGATGGGCTATTGTGCGTCCTGTTCATGAAGGCCGTTTTAGGATTGCACCCGAGGAGGTGAACAAGGGCCAAGAAACGATCAAAGCCTGCAAAGTTGCTGATTGTTTAATGGCTCTAATTTCCTGATTTGCATCTTCAAACTGTGCTTCTCCTATCTCTGCTCCCATCTGCTTGGCTGGGTCCTAATGTGTTCTCAGCACTGCCTGAAAATCTTTTGTGCTTCTAGGCCTCAGGTTTGTTATTGGTCTGTCTGTAACTTTTTTTCACATTTCAATAGCAGTTGCGCTTCAGTTGCTTGTAATGAGATGATAAGTGGATAGTAGAACAAAAAGAGAGGGCCCAGGTCTGTGGGGTGGGGGGCGGGGGGAGGGGTTGGGAGGGTGAGGGCATGGGTGGTGGTCGGGTGGGCAGGAAGTGTGGGGGCATGGAGATGGTGGTACCTCATGGATGTTTGATCCTCATTGGAGGATGCTTTCCAGTTCTGCAGAGCAGGGTTTTATTCCGTCATTTATGAGCCTGAGCTCTTCTGACTGTTCCTGCTTTCTGTTTGCTAACGGTGGGCTGCTTATCATTATTCCAGGATTGTGTGGGGGGTCCGTATTTTGAATATTACAGTGAGGGTGAGTAATTTACATTCACCACAGTCAGTAATGAGCCAGCATCTTGCACGGAGTTTTGTAAGTTGATCCTTCCTGTCTTTAATTATTTCAAATTCAATGATAGATGGACACAAACAAAAAAAAAATTAGGAACAAAAACAAAGTTGCTGGAAAAGCTCAGCAAGTCTGGCAGCATCTGTTAAGGAGAAAACAGAGTTAACGTTTCGGGTCCGGTGACCCTTCCTCAGAACTGATGGCGGCTGGGAAAACGTCAGTTTATATGCAGAAAAT